AGCAAAAGCATCCAGATAGCAAGTTTGAGTCCTGATCTCAGACCAAAAATAAATAAATGAATGAAAAAAATTCAACCTTACAGCTATCTGATTTTTCTTAAGCTTAGTGGTTCTCAAGCTGTTGTGGTGGACCTCTGGCACCAAGTCCTCAAGGCACTTTTGGGACTCTGGGATATAATGACATCAAGACTGTTGAAACATCTCTACTTCCATTCTGTCATCGACAGTGATGCTTCCCCAAGGCTGCACGCGAGGGGGAGACATAAAGCAAAGGATAGAATGTAGAACAGAAACAGGAAACTCTAGCTGTCTTTTATTAAGCCAGAAATTAAAGATATTTGCAAAAGTGGAAAACACTGCCACTGCTCACTGAAACTTTTCATTTAGGAAGTAATTTCTAGAAAAACATGAAGACATTATTATTATTATTATTATTATATTTTTGTCATGGGGCTTGAACTCTAGTCCTGGGATCTGTCTCTGAGCTCTACAGCTCAGGGTTAGCACTCTACCACTTGAGGCACAGCGCCACTTCCGGCTTTTTCTGTGTATGGTGCTGAGGAATGGGACTCAGGGACTCGTTCATGCGAGGCAAGCGCTCTACCACGGAGCCACCTTCCCAGCCCAATGAGTATTATTTTCTTTTTCTTTTTTTGTCGGTCGTGGGGCTTGATCTCTGGGCCTGGGCGCTGTCCCTGTGCTCTTCAGCTCGAGGCTTGAGCCACAGCGCCACTGCCGGTTTTTTCTAGTGGTTTATTGGAGCTGAGCGTCTCACGGGCTTTCCTGCCCCGGCTGGCTTTGAACCGCGATCCTGAGATCTCAGCCTCCTGAGTAGCCACCGGCACCCGGCCCTGTTTTAATTTTCTAAAAATTAAACACGATAGTTGAAATTGACACACACACACAAATCAAAAGAATTTTGGAGTCCTTATCCTCCAGGCGAGTGCTATGCTCCCCGGAGGAGGACTTCCGCACTCAGCCCTGGGACTGCGGCGAGGTCCCGGATGTAGGGAAAGCTTTGCTTCCCGGAGGAGGAGGACTTCCGTCACTCACACCTTTGACAGCGCGGTGTCCCGGATGTCGGGAGGCAATCTCCTCCTAGTTCCGCGGAGGGCGCCCAAGTCCCGCGCGGGCTCAGCCCCGAGCTGCTGGTCTTTTAAAGCGGGGATCTGGAACATTCCAGCCCAGCCTTTGCCCTGCGTCCTTACTTTAACCAGCCAGCCCCCTTCGCCTCAGCTTCGAAACAGCCCAAGTAAGAAGTAGGGGGTGCCAACGAGACTCAGCAACAGCTCTGCCCGTCTGTCCCCCCACGCGTCCTTCCTCAAGCGACCGCTCACCTGCCTCAGGTGCCGGGACACAGCACCAAGAGCTACGCGCGCCGCCATCTTGCCGCCCTGACCTCTCCGGACCACTTCCGGGGTCGCAGCGACGCCATCGGACGATAGAGTTGGGCGGAGAGAGTGTATCCTCGTGTTCCGGCACGGAAACAACCATAGAGACGTGAGTCCTCCACATTTGGAGTGAGTGGACACCCGGCTCGAGGCCTGTCCTGGACCAGGTTGCTTCAGCTGTTTGAGTTCCAGCCATGTTTTCAAACATAACAAATCATGCTTCAGGAGGAGGGACATAGCTCCCGCCACCTTTGAATCCAAATCCTAAACCCTGACCTTATTGAGATGTAAGTTATGGTTTCCGTAACTTTCTTTGCTGTTGGAGTTCTTGTGCTCCAGCTCTCTTGTGTATCTCTGCCCTACCGATCTTCTTGAGGCAGTTCCTCACGTTACCTAACATGTGAGAATTCGCAACGGCTGCCTTTACGAGCCAAAGGTTATTTTCTCTGGTTGTTAATGGCCATCATAATTTAATTCCAAGTCCAACAACGGCTTATAACTGCATTTGTTGAAATACAACTCCTCCCCGTTTGTGCAAACAGTTCTATTTCAGTAGAGTGCTTTCACATACGCAATTTAACATGATGGAAAACTCTTTTTACCTTTCTAGAATCCATACATAGACTGAGAGTCCATGGAATTCAGAATTGACCTTAGGTAGTCCTAAGCCTTAGGTGTGTGTCTTTCTCAGACACACACAGTAGTGGAACTGGATCAGTTTAGACACCCTCCCATCCCACCCCATTTGTTCTTTCAAGACACCGATTTCCTCAAAGTAAAGGAATCATAGAGCCATCTTTCCCCTCTGCTCCTGCCCCATGGATAATATTGAATGGCGCCTGGTACAGGGTGATTCATGGGGAATGACCAAGAATAAATGAATAATAGTACTGTACAACTAGAAGCTGACTTTAAGTTTAAAACACTGCAGGACTGGATGTAGCTCAGTGGCAAAGTGCTTGCCTAGTAAGTGCAATGTCCTGGATTCGATCCCCAGTACCAAGAAAGAAAAGACCAAAAAAAAAAATACAGTTTAAAAAAACAACACTGCATAAATAAATACACACTGTTACTAGAATGGCCAATTAAAAAAAAATTTTCTTGCCAGGTGCCAGTGGCTCACACCTGTAATCCTAGCTATTCAGGAGGCTGAGATCTGAGGATCTGAGGATCACAGTTCAAAGCCAGCTTGGGCAGGAAAGTCCATGAGACTCTTATCTCCAATAAACCACTAGAAAACAGGAAGTGGCACTGTGGCTCAAATGGTAGAGCACTGGCTTTGAGCTGAAGAGCGCAGGGACAGTGCCCAAGCCCAGAGTTCAAGCCCCACAACCCACCAAAAAAAAAAAAAAAAGAAGTCCTTTGCTTCTTAAGTCCTGTTTACTTTGTCATATCTTGTGTTTTGATTTTAGCATTTGCGTATCAGTGAGACCATGTGCCATTTGTCTCTCTGATCTTCGCTTATTTCACTCAGCATGATTTGTTCTAGTTCCATCCATTTCCCTATGAATGCCATTATTTAGATCTTTCTAATGGCTGTGTAATATTCCATTGTACATAGGCACCACAATTTATGAATCCATTCATCTGTAGTGGGGCATCTGGGTTGTTTCCATAACTTGGCTATTGTGAACAGTGCAGCAATGAACATGGAGGTGCATGTGTCCTTGTATCCTGACTAAAATTAAGTAAAAAAAACAACAACAACAAACCCAAGATTAAAGTCTTCAACAAGAATGCAATACTTAGGGGATAAATTCTGTATAAAAATTCAGAATTTGGGCTGGGAAGGTGGCTTAGTGGTAGAGTGCTTGACTAGCATGCATGAAGTCCTGGGTTTGATTCCTCAGTGCCACATACACAGAAAAAGCTGGAAGTGGCGCTGTGACACAAATGGTAGAGTGCTAGCCTTGAGCAAAAAGGAGCTCAGGGACAGTGCCCAGGCCCTGAGTTCAAGAAAAAAAAAAATCAGAATTTTAGATTTCTTCCTGAGTTTGCTACTGGCTATTAAAAGATCAATGCACATTAAAAATTGGAAATCTAAGACTTGAGATGCAAGTAAATCAGGGAGATATCCTGATCCAGTGCTATTAATGAAGATATATTCTAAGGGCACAGTGTTCTCAGAAGCTTAAATTCTTATTTTTTTTGTGTGTTTATTTTATCTAGAATTTGGGGGGGGGAGATTTTTTTATTGAGATTAGGTGATTATATAAATGTCACATATTTCACAGTATTGTGGAATAGTGATACTTAGTCAAAATCACAAACACAAAATACTGTCTACTATTTATTAAAGCTGGAAGTGGAGCTGTGGCTCAAGTAGTAGAGAGCTAGCCTTGAGCAAAAGAGGCTCAGGGCCCGATACCGGTGGCTCACACCTGTAATCCTAACTACTCAGGAGACTGAGATCTGAGGATCGCAGTTTAAAGCCAGCCCGGGCAGGAAAGTCCTTGAGACATTTATCTCCAATGAACCAACAGAAAACCAGAAGTGGTGCTGTGACTCAAGTGGTAGAGCGCCTGCTTTGAGCTGAAGAGTGCAGGGATAGTGCCCAGGCTGAGCTCAAGCCCTATGACTGACCAAAAAAAAAAAAAGAGGCTCAGGGACAGAGACCAGGCTTTGAGTTCAAGTCTTCAAGCCCCCAGGACCGGCAAAACCAAAACAAGGAAAGCAAAACAAAGCAAGTAAATCAGTGCAGTTGAGGATGCGGCAGAGGATTTACGAGAAGGCTCCTCGGTGGTAGTGAGCCTGAGAGACACAGTGTGGGCACTATCGCTTCAGGAGGTTCATCCACTGGATGAGGACGCTCAAAATTTGAGGCTAGTGCAGTCAAAAAGTTAGCAAGACCTCATCTCAACCAATGCAAAGCCGTAATCTATCTGTCACCTCAGTTACTAAGCATTAATAGGGGCTGGGAAGGTGGCTCAGTGGTAGAGTGCTTGTCTTGCATATATGAGGTCCTTCTGGGTTCGCTTCCTCAGCACATGAGCAGAAAAAAAGCCAGAAGTGGTGCTGTGTAGTTCAATTGAGCTGAAGAGGTGAGGGACAGCGCCCAGGCCCAGGGTTCAGGCCCCATCTCTGACAGAAAAAGAAAAAAAAAAATTAATGAGGCCAGGTGCCAGTGGCTCACGCCTGTAATTCTAGCTGCTCAGGAGGCTGAGATCTGATGATTGCAGTTCAAAGCCAGCCTGGGCAGGAAAGTCTGTGAGTCTCTTATCTCCAATTAACCACCAGAAAAACCGGAAGTGGTGCTGTGGCTCAAGTGGTAGAGTGCTTGAGCTTTGAGCTGAAGAGCAGAGGGACAGTGCCTAGGCCCAGAGTTCAAGCCCCACAACCAACAAAAAAAGAAAAAAATTAATGAGGACTGCAGGTGGGACTCAAGTGGTAGAGCCCTTGCCTAGCAAGTGCAAGATCCTGACTTCAAACCGCAGACCTGTTACAAACAAAAACAAACAACAACAAACCTTAGGCCTGCTTTTCTGCAATGGGGACACTTCACTGAGAATTAAATATGATCCACAAAATCCACCCACAGGCAAATGAGCATCTATCTAGCATCAAGAAAAGCTATTCCAATGGCTAGAAAGAAGGAATATTTAAGCCAAATGAAACTCAGAAAGATATTTTATTTTCAGAGCAGCTGATGCAATATTGAATCAGGTTTTTCACAAATAAATATGACAGTGCGCATTTGGTTACATGAATGCCCATGTGTAGGAACTGTAATGACTTTGGAGAAGGCTAGTGAGTGGAACCTAAGTAATATTCACCTGGTTCTCTTCCTGACAAAACATGTGATCATCTAAAGCAACCTTCTTAACAGGACAGGAAACAACCTAGAATGCCCTAGTTTTGGTGGTTTTTTTCCCCCCTTCCTTTTAAATTTAAGGAATGCACCTTTTTTTTTAGGACAAGCCTATAAAACATCTTTATTTGTTACATAGGATGTTTAAATATAACTTTGCTTTCAAGCTTCAAACTTTTTTTTTTTAACCCCCAGTAAAATAAGACTTTTGGTTCATCTTAACAAAAACTGACCCAGGAAGAAACATTTTTAGCAAAATGTTATTATAAAATTCACTAGAAAATACTGTCCTTTTTTGCCAAAATGTTACATAAAATCCTTATTAAAAATACACACATTACAAAAGAAAAAATTATGAATATGTTATACAGAGTGCTTTGATACGGACCAAGGGACTCCATTCCGGTAAAATACAATTAAGCACAACTAGATATTATGATGTCAACTTATAATAGTGCAAACCTGAATAAATTACATCCTGATACGGAAGGCATGCAAATCACTGGCTAATAGAACATAACAAAGCCAAAACAGGAAGCAATCACAACCACTATTTAAAAATGTTTGCTTTTTTTATTAATTACATTAATTTTTTTCAAAAATACTTTTTTCTTTACAATAGAACTCCTAGAAAATATTTACAACCTTCCTCTAATAAAATATAACAGCAGTTAAATATATTTGAAAATAAGATGGGTTTTTCCATAAAATATATCTGTTAACTTTTTTTATATATATACAAGCTTTCTCAAAGAGGTCTAAATTCACTCATGAAAAACCATCTGATAGTAAACAGTAACTGTGTTGAAGATGTTAACCTTTAGAAAGAAAAGTTCTGTAGGGTGGGGTAGGGGTGGAGCTAAAACCCAACGTGTACATGCAGGCAGAGTCATTTCAGAAAAAAAAAAAAGTGCAAAATTTTACTAAGAAGTCAATGCCTTTAGTTGATAATAAAGAAACATGAATGCAGGTATTTGAACTGTCTCACAAAGGAGGAGTTCTTTGGTTCTTTCAAGTCAGAAATTCTAATGCTATACTGCATGGAAAAACTAAGGTTAAATTGTGCACTTATATATATTACTATTATTTTTGCAGTGGTAATTCCATTTATTTCTAATGCTTAAAGCTGGAACAGCTGGGCAAGTCTGCAAACAGAAGGAATACATTTGCCTCCCAAAGATGATAGCCCCACCGAGGCTCAACCTCAGACCTTGTGGAAGGAAGCAGAGACAGCCAGTGACACGGCTGTTGAGTGGTTTCGTGGCAATTCTGCCCCGAAGCCCATGTGCAGAGCCCAGGAAGCTCACTCAAAACTTCTTAGATACAACACGAGAGAATCACTTGTTGAAGGGGCAGATGAAGGAAACCCCCAGGACAGCTCTAAAAAAAAAACAACCATGATGGAAATGAAAAGTTTCGTGTTTTCCTACTGTCCATGGCTTTCCTGAGATTCCAAAACCTCTGGCTGTGTAGGGTTGTGGGGGCCACAGCTGGTTCTCTGCAGCATGGAATGTAAAGGAGGCTCAACCCTGGCTCATCTCTGCTGAGATTCCTCCTAATGTCCAGCTGTTGATGCACCCAGCAGGACAGCCACACTTACCTGGAGCTGGGTGTAACAAGGCAGGGTTGAGGCCCTCAGACCTGCTCCATGGGTTGCTCAGTGACACTAACACCGAAGGGGAAGGGAGAGGATCAGGCTCGTCGGTGCATCGGCTGTATCCTGGTCTGACTCTTGCACTAACAGTGGGATGGATCACAGTTTGACTCAGCACAAAAAGTCCAGACTAGGACAAATTTATTGCCTTCAAGTACAAACAACAACCCTGCTAACAGGGGCAGAGGGAGGCAGAGCAGAGCCTCAGGAAGCTTACTGAAGTCTAGAAATGCTTTGGGAAGTGACTTGAAAGGAATACATTTGTTGTTGGAATGCACACATTGTAACTAAAGCATATCTGAAGCCATGTGTGTTGGCTTTCCATGCACTTTTCCTTGGATTGGCTATTGCTTATGTGTTAGAAGAGCCCATTGCTCAGGGCTAGCATCTAGATCAACTTTAGTCCAGTGGATGAATTAGCAAAATCCCAGCGAGAGGCTTCACAGTACTTCAAGCGGTACCAAGGAAGTTCGGAACTCCACTGACCATGAACCATGTTGCAAAAAAGATATGTATTAGGAACAGAACAAAACAAGACAAAAAGAACACTTCCTGGAAGGTCAGGGCTGGATAAAAATAATTCTTGGTGGCAAAACATGATCCAAGGGCCCAACATGTATAGAGTAGCCTGCTTCACACAAACACACACACACATGTGCACACACACAGACATACAGCAAACCTCGGGACAGAAGGCGACTGGGATGGTTGACATGGGAAAGCCATGGAACACGAAGGTGAGGTTCATTTCCTTCCTGGAAATGAGAATGTAGCCCGGATGAAACACCTCTTAAAGATAGTTGTGCCAATCATTTATTCCCCCCTAGTCCCCCATAAAAACAATTTAAAAAGATAAAAGGAAAAGAAACTGGAGTTTTCTTCTTCTTCTCTAAACCTGAATAAAATGACCACTTTTTAAACAGGTAGTTTAAAAGGGTTACAAAAACAAGCAAGCAGTCCAGGTTTCCTGATTGATGAAGACGGAGGTGACCTTCGGGCTCTATAGTTCTGTGTCACCCTGAAGTAGAACCGAGTCTTGGTCATCCAAGAGCAGGTCGGTATCCACGACCTCGGCCTCTTCCATGACACCTCCTAACTGCTGGACAACGTCATCGTCCAGGATGTCCACGTCCTTGATGGGTTTGATGAGACCCAGCTGGTCCAGGGGCAGCAGCCCCGGCGCCCCCACTGGGCCCGTAGTCCTCTCAATTGTGGCTGCCATTTCTGCAGCAAAAGCCGCCTTCTGCGCTTTCTGCCTCTGCTGTTCCTCCTGCTGTCTGTGAGTTTTCATGTGTGCATTTCGGCTTTTGATCTTGAAGAAGACCCTGAAACCAAAGAAAAAGGAGAGGGTGATCATTTACAAGGAGCTGGAAGTTCTGGGAAATCCCACTGCTCTCCAGGGAATGAGCGTGCTCTGAGGACAGCCTGAGGACTGTCTCTGATCCTTTCAGGAGGGAGTGGGGACTGGCAAACACTGGCTCTATGTCTGGCTTCCTTCCCGAGCAATGGAGGAGGCCTCTCCAAAGCTTTCCTGTCCATGTGCATCTGGAGCCATAGCCTCTTCTTTCCCATCAGCTTCCTTTTCTTCCTCCCTTCACTGACCATGCTCGCTCCATGAAGAATCCTCAACTCTGCTCCTCAGCCGTCATCAATACCCCTGTTGTGAAAGTATCCGCCTGCCACACACTTGGTGCATCTCCTTTTCTCTGCTTCACCCACAGCCTTCTCAAGGGCTCAAGTCACCCCGCGGGGTCAACTCAAATGCCTCTTCTGTATTGACTGTGCCTGATGGTGTTCCTTGTCACTGGGGACTGTGGTATTAGCATCGTTTTCTATTGATGGCCACAGAATAAAAGCTGCTCTCATCCAGGGGTTCCTGTGTGCTCCAGGAAACATCTGGAAATGTGTGGAGACATTTTGGTGGTCACAGGAGAGGAATATCTTAGCCTCAAAGAAGGAGGGGCCAGGGATGCTGCTAAACAATTACCGGGCAGCACAGGCTCCCTTCCCCAAATGAGGGATTTGCAGCAAAATGCCTATTGTGTTAAGGAACCTGAGACAAAAAGGCATCATATTTTTCATACTAGGGATCTGCCAGCCGTGGGCCATGGTCAGCCCCAGCTTAGTGTCTGTAAATGAAGTTTCACTGGAAGGCAGCCATGTCTTGGTGGGCTGCTTTGGGGGACAGTGGGTAAGCTGAATGGTTGAGACAATCATAGTGGCAAAATGAAGAGAGAGGTAGCATAAATACTTTATAATATTCACTCCTGAAAGCATAAATGCAAACAAACAAACCTCACTTCTAAGACCTGAGTTAAACAAAGTTGATGGATCCTACATGGATGTGTTAAAAACTGTTTCATGGAGTCTCTATGAGTCCGGCAGCTAAAAGCAGGAACCTGTGAATCTTTGTCCAAGGTTTGTGTTTTTGCTGTGCTGGGGATGGAACCCAGGGCCTGTTCATGAGGCAAGTGCTCAACCACCGAGCTGCACCCCACACCCTGTATGTGCCTAAAGTTATCCCTACTCTGTAAAACATCATGAAATAGTTCTGTTTCCCATACATTTTAACTAGACTTCTGGTTGAGAAAAAAAAGATCCCAAGCAACATCAAACAAGTCAAGAAGCCGGGTGCCAGTGGCTCACACCTGTAATCCTAGCTACTCAGGAAGCTGAGATCTGAAGATCACAGTTCAAAGCCAATCTGGGCAGGAAAGTCCAACAAACCACCAGAAAATCGGAAGTGGTGCTGTGGCTCAAGTGGTAGAGGGCTTACCCTGAGCTGACAAGCTGAGGGACAGCACCCAGGCCCAGAGTTTGAGCCCACAACTGACCAAAAAAAACCAAAAACAAACAACAACAACAACAAAACAAGCTAAGAAAACTATTTAATCCATACCACTAGAAGAAAACTTGTAAGGGAGGTTGAACATCCTTCAATAAATATTTGGCACTAGAATGCTTTCAGATTTTGGAGTATTTGCATATGCATAATGAGACATCTCCATTTAGGTTTCATATATACCTTGTCTACATGGTCTGAGGGTAACTTTATACAACCATTTAAAATAGCCGTGTGCATGAAATAAAGTTTCATGTGTCATTTTCCTCTTGTGGGCAAGGGCACAGTGGTAGATCCTGGAGTAGTGCGGGGTTTTTGGATTAGGGTTGCTCAATCTGTAGGGAGTTTTCTTCAAGGCATCCTTTGTCTCCAGCTGGTGGAGCCAGGAGCTGAGCCTGTTTGAGGGAACAGCTTTGGCTCCTTTCAGAGGAAACTGACAAGACCCTTAGAGCTTCCAAACTTCCTCTCTAGAACAGCAGTTGAGCTCAGGGTTGTTCCATCATTATGCCCGCCTAGTGATCAACAGGGGGCTAACTTCATGCCCCCCCCCCCAGTATGTGGGGGCAGTAATGGCAGGACAGGCTGTGGAGGGTTGCAGAGCAGAGGTGGACACCAACACTTAAACCCCTCTGTCCTACCCATGCACTTCCTGGCAGAAAAACAGCACTATGGTGGGGTGAGTGCCCCCCAATCAGAGGTAGATTTACTTAGAGGCAGCAGGGCCTAGCAGCTAAGAGAACAAGGCCGGGACAGTTTTTGTATACTGATTCTCACTCGGCCTAATCATTGCTTGCCTCAGTTTCTGCTTGAAAAGAAGCTAGTAGCAGCACCTGCCATGTGCTATAACTCATGCTTATAATCCTACTCAGGAGGTTGAGGTCTGAGGCTCGAGGTTCAAAGCCAGCCAGGACAGGAAAGTCTACGAGACTCTTATTTGCAATTAACCAGCAAAAAGCTAGAAGTGAAAGTGTGGCTCAAGTGATAGAGCACCAGTCTTGGGAGAATAAGAGTCTGAGTTCAAGCTCCAGCACTGGGGTGTGTGTGTGTGCATACACACATGCACACAGCACTTATTGAACAGGGCTATTCTCAAGTAAATGAATTGGTATGTGTAAAAAAACCCCAGGTAAGCGGCGAGGATCTGCTCGATGCTGCTCATAGACTGATGTGGTCTATGAGGCTGTGAGGTCCTGCTGGCCTTGCTCATGTAACTAGGAACTTTTTCCCTGACGGTTTCAACAGTTACCAATTGGCATGCCTCCAGTAACACTTGTATATTTGAGTCAGTAGAAGTTATGGGAGGAGGAACTCACCGAGACACCTCATGGGTGTCCTGCATGACCAAGTGACAGTCTCAAGTCAGGAAAATCTATGAAAGGGAAGCATGCATTTCCCAGCTCAGTTTTTCTTCCTTAAAGGTGAAGGGGCAGAGCAGTGCCAGGAATCTACGCTCTGCATCTGGACAAAACTGGGCTCAAGGCTCAGTTCTGACTGGTCCTGGCAGTATGATCTCGGACAGTCATTTTACCTAAGTTGCAGTCCTCATTTGTGAAACAAGGATCAAGACAGATCTGAATTATGCGGGGTTGTTGTGTGAGGGTTAACTGAGTTCACACACATGAAATATGTAATAGAGTAAGTGCTCAGTAAATGTGAGCTGTTCTTGTTGCTAAATTCTGTCAGAGTTCCCCCTTAGATGTTGTTTAAAACTATATCCAAAAGGACAGTGATGACAGATGGGTTTCATTTCATGAATCAACTCTAACCAACTGGTGGTGCCAGGCTTGAAGCATGATTAAAAAAAAGGAGTTGTGATAGCAAAGAGTGGTAATTGATTAGTGATGTCTGCCCTGGGCACTAATGTGAGCAGTAGCAGTAAGGGCACTATTTTTTTTTGGGGGGGGGAGGGGGATACAGTGTTGCTACAGAGAGCTTCTGCTTATATATTTTATAGCCACTCTCAAATTCTCAGGAGGGATGCAGAGTGACAGTTGTGAATATGGTCTGGAAATTGGAGATCTTTTTGAACTGTTTCTGGCAAGAAATGTTCTTTTTTTTTTTTTTGGTCGGTCGTGGGCCTTGAACTCTGGGCCTGAGTGCTGTCCCTCAGCTCTTCAGCTCAAGGCTAGTTCTCTACCACTTGAGCTACAGCGCCACTTCCGGTTTTCTGGTGGTTTATTGGAGATAGGAGTCTCACGGTCTTTCCTGCCTGGGCTGGCTTTGAACTGGGATCCTCAGATCTCAGCCTCCTGAGTAGCTAGGATTACAGGCATGAGCCACCAGTGCCCGGCCAGGAATGGAATTTTCTTATGAGACTTTCTATCTGAAGATGCCCATCCCTCCAGGCTCTAGAACATCAGAATGGCCATGTTCAGCCTCAGGATGATATGAAGGATGAGTCTAGATTCTCTAGCTGGAGAAACCTCCAGGCATTGCCTGGTGCCTACAGAGCAGTCACTCCCATGATCCCATCGTCAGACCCTGGTTCAAGTCTACCTACTTGCCACACTCTTTGCAGGGGAAGATGGTTGTAGGGTCCGTCTCGCCACTGGTGGTGCTGTGAGAGGGCGAACTCTTCACCGAGCAGTACCCACTCTGGGCCCCGCCAGGCTTCTGCTTCCCAGAGGGGACAGCACTTCGAGCCTTGGTCACCTGGTTGGTACCACCGTGGATGCGGGCATGGCCGTTCAGCGCCTGTCGAGAGCTGAAGACCTGGGGAAGAAAGGGAGTGACATGACATCTACAGTCCTGAAAAGGAAATTAGGGTTGTTAGTTACTCATGGTTAAGACAGGTGATACATGAAACAATGTCTAATTCAGGCTAACGCTGGGGTCAATGCCACAGAGAGTCATGCTCAAATACCACAACCACAAATGCTAGAAAAATTCCCATTGTTACCTGCAGACAGGCAGCAATCAAGGCACCGTCTCAATGACAACTGGTGCCGGAGTCTGGGACTCCAGGTCTGTCTGACTGCTGCGGTCATAGCTAACAGAGAGGCTGAGAGGCCATTTGCCTTCTGCATAATTTTTTTTTTTCTGCCTGCAAAATGAGGGGCTTGGACCAGCTTTCCAGCTTTCCAAGTCTTTTTTTTTTTTTTTTTTTTTTAAAGTTGAAAACTAATTTCCTCCCTCCCTCTCTATTAAGCAAATTTAGTCTTACTTCAACCTCAAGTTAAAAGCAGAGATGGTCTGATTGAAATGGAAACAGCAGCCAGTTTGCTGGCTCCATCTCTTCCCCCCAGGAAGTCCTGGTACCCCAGGAACATACTTTAAAGACACTAGTGAGGTGCCCTCACATATCAGATCTCTATGCATGGATAGCCCCTCTCAGTGGGTTTTTCATTTAATCAATCAATCCAAATCAATCAATTAATTAATGACTTATTTTGGTACTGGTGCTTAAACTCAGGGCCATGCCTCTACTTCTAAATTTTTGCTGGCTAAATGGAGATAAAGGTCTCATGGACTTTTCTGCCTAGGCTGTCTTTAAGATGGATCCTCCCATCTTAGCCTCCTGAGTAGCTAGGATTACAGGTATGAACCTGGTGCTGCTGGCTTTTGCAGTGCTGGGGGTGAAACCCCGGCCTCACGCATGCTAGGCAAGTGCTCCACCACTGAGCTGCTATGCAGTCAAGTAGGTCACTGCAGAGGCAAATGGGGAAGATCCTCAAATTTTAATACAGAGGAGGAGCTCGGCAGTGTTTCAAATATTGCCATAAAGCAGGGTTTCTTAGCCAGCCTTAGCACTATGGACATTTAGGTTTGCACAATCCTTCCTTCCTTCCCTCCCTCCCTTCATCCCTCCCTCCCTTCCTTCATTTTTATTTTTGTCGGCTTGAACTCTGGGCCTGGGCACTGTCCTTGAGCTCTTCAGCTCAAGGTGAGTGCTCTACCACTTGAGCCACAGCATCACTTTTCAGTTTTCTGGTGGTTCACTGGAGATGAGAGTTTCACAGACTTTCCTGCCCATGCTGGCTTTGAACCTCAATCCTCAGATCTCAGCCTCCCGAGTACCTAGGATTGATTACAGGCATGAGCCACCGGCACCCAGTTTTATTTATTTATTTTTGGTGACTCCACTTTTGTACTTTTTAATTACACAGTTTTTGGAAGCACAAGGGCTTGTGTGTTCACTTTGCACATAAATATAAATGAGCACATACATATATTGAAGTGCAGTGGTGAAAAATAGCAGATGAAGGTAATTACTGGTAGCCAAGATCGGAAATTTCTGAATAGATCAGGTTACCAAATGCTCTTAGTGACTGCATACATTGTTAATGAGACAATGTACTTTGACCCCCACCTACCAGATACTAGCAGAACCCTCTCAGCCTGACAGTGCACACAGTCCAACATTCTTGGTGGTGGGGAACAGGTCACCCCAGTTCCAAATTGCTTTGCTAATGAATATAATGCATACCCTTGAATTCTAAGAGCCCCATTTGTTAAGTTTAGGGGTTGCTTTGTATTTGGTTTGGGGGCTTTGTTTGTAGTCTTAGGGAGGGAAAAAAAAGCCCAGTCTATCACAGATTTCATAATTCCTAGTCTTCATTGTTAGGCAAGGAATAAAAGCAGCATACTTTTCTCCCTCTGAGTTTTCAAAGTGATTGAGACTATTTATCTTGCTTGGCATTTCTGATTGGGCAAAGTAAAAGATTGACTTTCTGTGCAGTTAAAAAAAAAGTACTGTACATTACAACTATGAATGGAGGAAACATCCAATTTCTGAAAAAATTCACCAAGAAATGTTGTCATTTAAATTCACATCTTAGTCATTCCTCCACTGAGGCTCCTATGCCATATGGCGACAGGAATGGGGACCAGGCCAGGCCATTCAACACCCAAGACAGAAACATGCTACCAATTTCTTATGGCCTCTTGAAGGCGAATGCAAAATATATATCTTTTTTATTCTTAAAGCTTTTTCGTTTTTTTTCCTTCAATGTAAATCAAATGAATTTCTGCTTCAGGATATAAATATTTCAAAGCTTGTTGCTTTCTTCATCTAAATGACAGATTCAATAAAGAGCATTCAGTACAGTGTTATATTAGACAAGCAGATTAAGAACACTAATTTGAAACAATGGGATTCTTGTGTAGCATTCTTTTGAGTGCTGGGGATCAAACCCAGGAGTTTATGTATGCTAGACAGCAATAATACCACTAAGCTATAGCTCCAGCTCCCAGAAACAGCATTCTTATGTGGGCATAATAACCTCTAGAACTTGTCCATACCTGGCTTTAAGAGACATGATTTGGGAAAATGTCACCAATTCAGACCAGTTGGGGACAGGTGACTACTGAGAGAGCATAGTTATTTTATTTATTTGTTTATGTTGGCCAGTCCTGGGGCTTGAACTCAGGGCCTAGGCACTGTCCCTGAGCTTCATCTGCTCAAGGCTAGGACTCTACCACTTGAGCCACTGACCCACTTCTGGCTTTTCCTGTTTATGTGGTACTGAGGAATTGAACCCAAGGCTTCATGCATGCTAGGCAAGCATTCTACCACTAAGCCACATTCCCAGCCAGAGACCACAGTTCTTTAAGATCCACCCAGAGCCTTTGGCCAGGCCGTGCAGCTTGTGGAAGGCCTTCAGTTAACTCCAAGGCTGTGTTGCACAGCACAGCTTTCAGACTTGTTTACATGATTAGTTTGCTTAGTAAATCTGTCCGCCTCCACAGAGTACAAAGACAAACAGTTTAAATGTTTGTAACAAAGTGCTGAAATGTCAAATTAGTGGCATTTGAATTAGCAACACTTTGCAGCATATGATATGCAAAACCTTGTAGGCAGGCAAAGCTGCAGGCTGTGGGGGTAAGTAATTAGGATAGAAAAGGAAGGTCCAGCTAACAGGGCCTCACCTTAGTGACACACAGCCCAGGGACTGTGTGAAATCCCTTGCTTCAGCCTCCCAAATGCTGGGATTACAGGTGTGCACAACCACACCTGACTCCAGGGATCTCCCTTATGCATTAGCAGGCAGCATCACACCTGGCCTGTACATACGCTATTGGCTCAATGACCAATGGCTGTTGCCACTCTCCCGCTGTTGCAAGTGCTCCCTTGTGAGCACGTGTCATCTTTTAGGGCTAGGCACAGCTGCAAGGCCCTTGCTCATCCCAGACACCCAGACAACAGACACTTACAGCGCCACAGTTGGGCATTTCACAGATGAAGGAGCCCGAGGGCTGGCTGAGGGCCTGCAGGGGTGGCCCCTCCGTGGCAGTCAGGACAGGCACTGGCGGGGGCTCCGGGGACTTCGGCACTTCACTCTCCTCGTCTTTTGGTGATTTCCTATCTTCCTCCAGGTCCTCCTCCTCCTCCTCCACCTCTTCTTCCTCTTCACTCGTCTAGTGTTAATAAAAGCAAGGACAATTTTTGGGGAACAGAACTCACAGGCTGGAGCTCAGGGAAGGCTGGCTCTGGGAACTTTGAGGTAACATGTTGGGCCAGTCCCTAAAGGATGGTCCCTGGAGGCCTGGATGATTTATTGTTATTATTGTTATATTTTTGGGTGGTCATGAGGCCCGAACTCTGGGTCTGGGCACTGTGCCTGAGCTCAGGGCTAGCGCTTTACCACTTGAGCCACAGCGCCACTTCTGGCTTTTTCTGTTTATGTGGTGCTGAGGAATCCAACCCAGGGCCTCATGCATACAAGGCAAGCACTCTACCACTGAGCCACCTTCCCAGACCCTGTTTTATTTTATTTTGTGCCAGTTCTGGGGCTTGAACTCAGGGCTCATACTTTCAGCTGTTTTTGTTCAAAGATGGCATTTTACCACTTGATCCACAGCTCCCCTTCTGGCTCTTGGCTGGTTAACTGGACATACATCTCCCAGACTTTCCTGTCCTGGCTGGCTTCAAAGCAAGATCCTCAGATCTCTGCCCTGGGTAGCTAGGATTACAGGTGTGCATACCAGCACCTGGCACCTAGAATTTTGCAATCAAGGAAGTCTCCCTGTTTGTAACCTCACTCATTATATAAAGATATGCAAAGCCAGAGAGGAGATATTTCTATATGCAAAGAGTCTTCATCATTTGATACTATTGGATCTAACAAGTGATTAAAACTTGTAATGAGGGGGCTGGGAAGGTGGCTCAGTGGTAGAGCGCTTGCCTTGCATGCCTGAGGCCCTGGGTTCGATTCCTCAGCACCACATAAGCAAAAAGAAAAAAAGCTGGAAGTGGCGCTGTGGCTCAAGGGGTAGAGTGCTAGCCTTGGGCCCTTTTATGCAGCAGGTGCTTTTTCTGACCACAGGCTTATAGAAAGCTGTGTATTCCATGTTTCAGTTTACTAATTTTTCTTTCCAGAGACACTTTATACAAAAGAATCCTGAGCTGGGACCTGGTGGCTCACGCCTGTAATCCTAACTACTTGGGAGGCTGAGATCTGAGAATCACGATTCAAAGCCAGCCGGGGCAGAAAAGTCTGAGAGATTCATTCCCCAATGAATCAGCAAAGAAGCTGGAAGTGGAGGTATGGTTTAGGTGGCAGAGCCTCAGCCTTAAGCAAAAAAGCCAAATGAGAATAGGAGGGGCTGAGTTCAAGACCCAGTACTAGCACAAAAGAAAACACCAGGAATAATTACCCTCAAGTCTCTGCCCATCTCAAGGTTCATAAAATAGCAAGTTAGCATGATTAATCATGATTGCTAATTAATCCTGATTATTGTATTGGAAGACTTCAGTGGGTGCCGGGAGTGAGCTGGGCTGGAGGACAGATTGAGAAGGCCCTTGTCCTATCTCTTGCTTCACAACCACTTAATTGTGTCTCATGGGGTAGGGAGAGGGCTGCTGGTACCTGCAGGCCCTGCCTGGGCTGAGAAGCAAGGAAAGGCAATTCTATCTTAACAGTCTCTTCAGCTTCTATTTTACAGTCTACAAAGGCACTTCCACATTTACACTGTCATGGACTAGGCTGTCAACCGGCCTTCTATTACACAAGCAGGAATATGGAAGGAAATGCCCACTGCCTCGGCTCCTGACAGCCCATTTGTCTCTGCCAGGTCCTCTTTGCACCCAGAGATCACAGCACATGGGCGGGCTCCGGTCCGCATTTCTCGAGAGCCAATGCTTCCTAAGAATTGCCCAGGGGCAAGAATTTTCCAAGAGGGGAAAAATGTATATATATATAGGGCATTTAGTGCCCTACCCTCACTCACCAGTATTGTTTATAGGTAGTGCCCCATATATGCATATTTGAGATGCTTTATTAATAAGATGTATTTAAGACATGGACTTAGCTGCTATTAGATTAATTATGAATTATTAACCATGATTATTGTACTGGAAAATTCAATGAATTCTGATGTAGGCCCAATACCTTTTTTTTTTTTTTGCTGGTCCTGGGGCTTGAGCTCTGGGCCTGGGCATTGTCCCTGAGTTCCTTTTCTAGCACTCTTTAAGCTATTGTGCCAGTTCCCAGCTTCTTCTTTGATTAATTGGTGATAACAGTCTCGTGGACTTTCCTGCCCTGGCTGGCTTTGAATCATGATCCTCAGATCTCAGCCTCCTGAGTAGCTAGGATTACATGCATGAGCCACTGGCACCCAGTTGCCAAAATATTTTTTTTTTCTTTTTTTTGCCAGTCTTAGGGCTTGAACTCAGGGCCTGGGCACTGACCCTGCTCAAGGCTAGCACTCTTACCATTTGAACCACAGTGCCACTTCTGACTTTTTCTATTTATGTGGTACTGAGGAATCGAACCTAGGGCTTCATACATGCTAGACAAGCACTTTACCACTAAGCCTCATTTCCAGTCACTCCCAATATATTATTATTATTATTATTTTTGGTCAGTTGTGGGGCTTGAACTCTAGGCTTGGGCACTTTCCCTGAGCTTTTCAGCCCAAGGAGAGGCTCTCTAGCACTTGAGCCACAGGGCCACAGCAAGCACTCTACCTCTGAGTCACCTTCCCAGCCCCTTATGTTCTATTTTAGTAAGAAGCCTGAGCCTATATCATAAACTACTCCATAAAAATGGATTGGGAGGCCTGGGAAGGTGGCTCAGTGGTAGAGTGCTTGCCTTGCATGCATAAGGCCCTGGGTTCAATTCTTCAGCACCACATACACAGAAAAAACCGGAAGTGGCTCTATAGCTCAAGTGGTAGAGCGCTAGCCTTGAGCTGAAGAGCTAAGGGACAGTGCCCAGACCGAGTTCAGGCCCCACGACACACACACACACACACACACACACACTAAAATAGAAGATAAATAGGTTGCTTTTGCTTAGATGGTCTCATCCTACACAAACCCATCACCTTCCAAATAAGTTTCAGGCAAAACCACTTTGTGTCAAATGCTGAAGGTTTTCTACCTTTATTTATACAAATGACTTTATGATCTTTTTTTTTTCTTTTTTGGGTCCGGTCGTGGGGCCTGAACTCTGGGCCTGGGCGCTGTCCCTCAGCTCTTCAGCTCAAGGCTAGCACTCTACCACTTGAGCCACAGCGCCACTTCCGGCTTTTTTCTTTTTGCTTATGTGGTGCTGAGGAATCGAACCCAGGGCCTCATGCATGCAAGACAAGCGCTCTACCACTGAGCCACCTTCCCAGCCCATGACTTTATGATCTTACATGTTAAGTAGACGCTGGCCAATAGTTTAGCATTAAAAATGAACTACACAGCTGGGCGCCAGTGGCTCACACCTAGAATCCTAGCTACTCAGAAGGCTGAGATCTGAGGATTGTAGTTTGAAAGCAGCCTGGACAGGAAGGCCCATCAGACTTTTATCTCCAATTAACCAACAAAAAAGCCAGAAGTGGAAGTAGGCTTAAGTGGTAGAGAGCCAGCTTTGAGTGAAAAAGCTCAAGGTTTAGCACCCAAGGCCTAAGTTCAAATCCCAGTGCCCACACAAAAATTAAATAAAATGAGGTACAGAGTGACTTTCCTTTTTTTCTTTTTTTTGTCAGTCGTGGGGCTTGAACTCTGGGCTTGGGCACTATCTGCTCTTCAGCTCAAGGCAAGTGCTCTACCGCTTGAGCCACAGTGCCACTTCTGGTTTTCTAGTGGCTTATTGGAAATAAGAGTCTCAGGGACTTTCTTGCCCCAGCTGCTCTGAACCGAGATCCCCCTCAGCCTCCTGAGTAGCTAGGATTACAGGCGTGAGCCACTGGCGCCCGGCTTCAGAGTGACTTTTCATGACAGTGGAATTTGTTTCTTGGTCCTTATTATAATTACAGCTTTCTTGCAATGCCATTCTTTGGCTGAAAAAAATTCAAAAACCATTTCAGTTTTTGTAGATTGGTCTCTACTGTACCGTGATTATGTAAGCCTCAGGAATTTAGATGTGTTTTATTTCAACTGGCAAATCTATACGAGTTGACAAAATGATTTATCATCCAGCCATATGGCTCACCAAAGTGACTAAGAGATACAAAGATAGGAGGACCAAAATCTTAACATGTAGAACTCTGTAGCAACAAGTTGGCCATTTTATGATATGTTGTGAAATACATTTACTAAGATTCCGAAATGAGTGGAAAGTGGGTAGAGGCTGTAGATTTAACATGGTGCCCAAACCTGGAGTGTTCACATGGTACCTTGAAGAGGATATTTTTATTGCTCAGAAAAGCAAGTACAACTCACACTTTGACAAACTGTGACATTAGATACATTCAACACTCAAATTGACTCGAAAGATACAAATTCCAGTGTTCCAGTCACAATGATGACAATGTATTGAATATACGGTATGAATCACGCACATTTCCAGTTCTCACAATTCTATAAGTTAATTTCCTTCTTCCTTTAGTGCCAGTACTGGGTTTTGAACTCAGGGCCTTAATCTTCTCAAGACTCACTTTACCACTTGAGCCCTATTTCCATTTTCAGCTTTTTGCTAGTTAATTGGAGATTAGGGTCTTACAGATTTTCATTTTTTTTTTTTTTTTGTCGGTCATGGGGCTTGGACACTGGGCTTGGATGCTGTCCCTGTGCTCTTCAGCTCAAGGTAAGCGCTCTACCGCTTGAGCCACAGCAGGACTTTTGTTTTCTAGTGGTTTACTGGAGATAAGAATCTCACGGACTGGGCTGGCTTTGAACTGTGATCCTCACTTCTCAGCCTCCTGAGTAGCTACAATTATAGGCATGAGCCACCGGCGCATGGCCTTTTTTTTTTCTTTTTTAAATATGTCTTTTTTCTTTCTTTTTTCTTGTCTTTTCTTTCTTTCTTTTATTTTGCCAGTCCTGGGGCTTGAAATCAGGGCCTGGGCACTGTCCCTGAGCTTCTTTTTTGCTCAAGGCTAGCACCACTTGAGCCACAGCACCACTTCAGGCTTTTTCTGTTTATGTGGTACTAAGGAATTGAGCCCAGGGCTTCATGCTAGGCAAGCACTCTACCACAAAGCCACATTCCCAGCTCTCTCATGCAAGCTTTCTACCCCACATGGCTTTAAATTGCAACTGGATTATAGGGATGCGCCACCAGTGCTTACCCATAAATTTCTTTTATAAATAAAGGGGAAATTGGCCAGAAAACAGTTTTCCTAAGGTGACCTAGCTGATAAAGAAGCTGAGATTCAAAACTTGGCCTTTCTGAATTTGAAGTATCAGTCTCCTTCCCTCCTGGTCCTAAAACAGTGTCCACAGTGACCTCTGGCCTGTCTGTAATGGTCCCAGCAATGGGAATGAGTAGCTTGTAGGTACTTGCCTGTAGGTAGCAAGGACTATGTCCAAGCACCTTGCTACTCGACTGCTTCTGCAGACTGCACCTCACACACTGTACCCCACACTGGTGTAGTGGGGGGCAGCTCTATCTCTGCAATGACACTTAGGTCACATGATGAGGAACCCTGCTCTAGCATTCTGGCCAGACCAGAGGGCAAAGAGCAGGGCCACATCCCAGGACTGTGCCTTTTGTATCTTCCTCTGTCTCCCAATTTTTTGCCAGTCTGATGGTAGGCAGAAGACTGTGGACACAGTGCCCAAGGGAGCTGGGAGCCACCACGTGGGCTTTAAGTCAAGATGTTCTTGTTTTTGTGGGCCTGAGTCATCTCTTTGTGCTCTCCCTAAGCTCAGGAGTGACAGGGTGCGGCCGCTCCTGACCCAGCCTAACACTGGCTGTAGGTGAATGAGCCCAGATAGACATGGCCTCCACCTTCCCAGCACCATCAGCCAACATGGTGCTTCTGCCTTGTGTGGTACCATCTCTTCTCCTCTCCAGCACTTCTCTGCTCAGGGTACCCCTGTTTATCCTGGATCCCTCCAGAGTTTCACCTGGAAGGATTGCTGCTATGAGCCAGAGAGATTCCTGCCTCAGAAAAGAGTTCACTGGCTCTGTCTGCCATCTTGGAGCCTGCAGAGGCCTGTTGAGAACAGGACTCCTAAAGGAAAAACATCTAGAAGGCGGTGGCGCAGGGCCTTTTTCGCTGGCTATCACTGGGGTCTCTGGAACCAAAGGGAGCACACAGCTCTCCTTCAAACTCAAGGTGATTCTGCCTGAGTTGATACCGATTTCTACTTGGGCAAGAGATGTGCTTCTGTATTCAAAGCAATAAACAACACGGTGACTCCCGGAGGCAAACCAAACAGAACCAGAGCAATCTGGGGAAAGGTAACTCGCGCCATGGAAACAGTGGCATGGTTCATGCCAAACTCCGAAGCAACCTTCCTGCTAAGGCCATCGGACAGAATCCATGTGATGCTGTACCCCTCCAGAATTTAAGCTAATGAAAATTCAATAACGTAAACCTGTGTTCTACTCTTTTAAAAAAAGTGTTCACTCATTTCCATGAACAAATACTGAGTAGAGTGCGGTACTGCTCAGTCACTGCCCTTGGCCCTTGGCTGAAGAGACACCTGATTTTACCTTCTTGCCAAACACAAAATGGACATAGCCTAGAACATTCCAGAATTCAAAGGATTTCTTTCTTTCTTTCCTTTTCTTCTTTTTATTTTCTTCTTTCTCCCCCCCCCCCCCCACCCCCCTAGTATTAGGCTTGAAATCAGGGCCTCCCGCTCTTGCTCAGCTTTTTCCATTCAAGGCTGACATATATTACTTGAGCCACCCCTACAAGTCCCAAAGGATTTCTCTAAATAATTAAAATCATCAGCTCCATTTTATTGATAAAGGAAGGAGCTAGGCTCTTGGGTCTCCCAAGTCCAGGATAATTTATGTTATTTTGTTTGTACATGTGTGCTGGTCCTGGGACTTGAACTCAGGCCTTGGATTTTCCCCTTAACTTTTCCCATTCTAGGTTGGTGCTCTACCACTTGAACCACACCTCTGTTTTTGACTTTTTGCTGGTTAATTGGAGATAAGAGTCTCTCAAATTTGTTTGTCTGAGCTGGCTTCAAACAGGGATCCTCAGATGTCAGTGTCTTGAGTAACTAGGATTGCAGGCATGAGCAACCATTGCCTGGCTTGTCCTTAATCTTTTTTTTTTTGGTCATGGGGCTTGAACTCTGGGCCTAGGTGCTGTCCCCGAGCTCTTCAGCTCAAGGTGAATGCTCTATTACTTGAGCCACAGTGCCACTTCCGGTTTTATGGTAGTTAATTGGAGGTGAGAGTCTCATGGACTTTCCTGCCCGGGCTAGCTTTGAACCATGATCCTCAGATCTCAGCCTCCTGAGTAGCTAGAATTACAGGCGTGAGCCACTGGCGCCTGGCTGTCCTTAATCTTAATATGCATAAGATTCTAGATTGCCTGTGAGGAAGGCTGCCATTTCACCGTGGGACTCATCCACACACTGTCCACCAGTTCCTCAATACCTAAGAATTCCTGGGGCTCTTTATTTTCCTGAGGCATGTTTGGCCGTAAGGCCAGTAGTATCTGTGACATGGAAGGAAAGGAAGGAAGATTCCAGGAGGCCAGGACAATGGCCACCTAGTTTCTCTACCTTCCTGGAAACACAAACTATCCTGCAACCTATAATCAAATGCTGAGATGCCCTTCTTCTAACCTATACAATACCATGCCGGTGGCACAGGACCTCTGTCCAGCTATGTGCTGACTCTGAAGCAAAGTGGAAACCAACACCAGTCCCTTACTAGCCTGGGGTAGAATGAGTGGGAGTGGGGCTAGCACAAGCACCGACTTACTAGCGCCACTCACCATGCAGTCTTCGATGACTTCCACCAGGCGTGTCCTGTGCTTCCGCCCTAGCCGCATTATCTTCTTCCATGTATAGTAGTATTCCACGCACTGAGCCACTGTCTTGGACTTCACCTGCCAGAGAAGCAAGCGCACTCATCATCAGCTCCAGCAGCAAGCAAGCTTTATGGAATATTTAGCTATAGGTGGTAGTCAATAGATTTAGACATTTAGTAAAAACAAAAACACTAACACCAAAGGTGATTTGTGTGCATATATGGAAATACCATGATAAAACCATCTCATAAATATGGACACAACAAGCCGGGTGCCGGTGGCTCACGCCTGTAATCCTAGCTACTCAGGAGGCTGAGATCTGAGGATCACGGTTCAAAGGCAGCCCGGGCAGGAAAGTCCGTGAAACTCTTATCTCCAATAAACCACTAGAAAACCGGAAGTGGCACTGTGCCTCGCAGTAGAGCACTCGCCTTGAGCTGAAGAGCGCAGGGACAGTGCCCAAGCCCGGAGTTCAAGGCCCACAACCGACAAAAAAAAAAAAATATAGACACACACACAAAACTAAACCCAATCCTTCGGCTGGGAAGGTGGCTTAGTGGTCGAGTGCTTGCCTAGCATGCAGGAAGCCCTAGGTTGGATTCCTCAGTACCATATACACAGAAAAAGCCAGAAGTGGTGCAGTGGCTCAAGTGGTAGAGTGCTAGCTTTGAGCACAGGGGGCTCAATGACAGAGCCCGGGCCCTGAGTTCAAGCCCCAGGACTGGCAAAAAAACCCCCAAACACCCAGAATACAATGAAAATCCCCTTCTTCCCAAATCTACTCTTCTGCTCATTCCTGCTATACAGGAAGCCCCTCCTCTGAATTACTTACTTGGGTATCATTCCACAGATTTTTGGGTGTATGCCAGAACCAAGCTCAGACCGAGGGCTTCACAGGGCCTTGTACACTCTCACTTGGATTACTTGCTCATGGCTGCTGCTCTACCACATAAGCCATGCTTTCAGTATAGCATTTTGCTGGTTAATTAGTGACAAGAGCCTTACAAACTAAGCCAGCTGCCAGTGGCTCATGCTTATAATCCTAGCTATTCAGGAGGCTGAGACCTGAAGACCTCAATTTGAATCCAGCCTGGACAGGAAAGTCCATGAGACTCTTCTAGACTCACATTCAACTGCAACAGTTGCAGCAAGCATTTTTTTTTTTTAAAAGCCCAGGGCTGGGAAGGTGGCTCAGTGGTAGAGTGCTTGCCTTGCATGCATGAGGCCCTGGGTTCGATTCCTCAGCACCACATAAGCAGAAAAAGCCGGAAGTGGTGCTGTGGCTCAAGTGGTAGAACACTAGCCTTGAGCTGAAGAGCTGAGGGACAGCGCCCAGGCCGAGTTCAGGCCCCATGACTGGCAAAAAATAAAAATAAAAATTAAAAAAAAATTAAATTAAAAAAAAAAAAGCCCAAAATGAGCTGTGGCTCAAGTGATAGAATGCTAGCTAGCCTGGAGCAAAAAAAGCTCAGGAACAGCATCTTGAGTTCAAGACAGAGGACTGACACACACACACACACACACACACACACACACTCTCTCTCTCTCTCTCTCTCTCTCTCTCTCTCTCTCTCTCTCTCTCTCTCTCTCTCTCTCTCTCTCTCAAAAAGTCTCATGGACTTTCCTGCTCTGGCTGGCTTTGAATTGCAATCCTCAGAGCTGAGCCTCCTGAGTAGTTAGCATTACAGGCAAGAACTACCAGCCCTGCCTGGCATAAACACTTTTAATCTTGATTTTTTTTTTTCTACCATAGTATATAGCTTGGAGGTTTGTTGAGATCAGTCCACAGAGTCCTTACTCATGTTTTAAGCCTATAAACAAGCTGCTTAAAAGTAATTAATGCGCTTGAGCGGGCCCAGTTGGACAGCTTGATGACCTGTAAAGTCTACTTATGAACAAGTTCCTTTTAAGAGAACAGGAATATAAGGCACAAATTAGGATGGCAAAATCAAGCCTTCCTGTTTACCCTCCAAGAGGCCAAGGAACCTTATTCAAGATGCTTGGGCCCAGACAGACTTTCCTAGCTGGCCATCCCTAATCTGAAAGTTGGTAATGTGAAATGCTCCCAAATCCATGGAGGATTTCTCATGTTAGATTTTAGGATTAGAGATGCTCAGACTGTATACATATTTAAAAGAGAAAGCATTCCTTTATTTAACCCGTGTCTCTCCATGCCCAGGTGGAGTCAATAGTTGGGCTTCCTGGGGCAGCCCCTCCCTGGGAGGGGGAACCCAGAACTTCTCTCACCTGTGTGGTGAGAGAAGCACCCACCAGAAGTCCTGCCCTCTTCCCAACTGCACTCTTGGGTATGGCTCACCTTGCCCAGAGTCACCTTAGGGAGTGAGGCCAGGACACTCCTATAAAAACTGCCAGCTGTTACCACAAGGGTAGAAAACAGCCTTTTTGTTTTGGGCCGGACTCAGGATCCGGGTGCTGTTCCTGAGCGTGTGTGCTTAAGTCTAGCCCACTTAAGTTCCACTTCCAGCTTTTTGGTAGTTAACTGGAGATAAGAGTCTCATGAGCTTTCTTGCCCAGGCTGGTTCAGATTTCATGATTGTCTGCAACCTTCAGATCTCAGGCTCCTGTAGAACTAAGTATTATATGTGTAAGCTACCAGCACCAGGCAAGGAAGACAGCCATTTTGTAAGCATGGTTAAAAACCAGAAATAATGCCAGGCACCAGTGGCTCACGCCTGTAATCCTAGCTACTCAGGAGGCTGAGATCTGAGGATCATAGTTCAAAGACAGCCCGGGCAGAGAAGTCCGGGAGACCTTTATCTCCAATAAACCTCTAGAAAACCGAAGTGGCGCTGTGGCTCAATTGGTAGAGCATTAGCCTTGAGCTGAAGAGCTCAGTGACAATGCCCAGGCCCAGAGTTCAAGACCCACAACCAACAAAAAACCCAGAAATCAGTAATTTTCAAAGAATATATTTGTATATACAATTTCAAATGACTAAGAGGGAAAAGCTTGCTTACCATTTTCTGTACAAAAATAAAGTCTTTGCTGTAAGTGGCTAGTGCTTTATTGAACATTTTTCTTTCTAGGGAGGTCCACTTGTCCGAACCTACAACAAAACAAAAACTTCATTAAGAAGAGCCCATAGTTATGCTTATGTTTAGTTTGTTTATTAAGGTAAAAATACAACATTCTAGCAAGGGATGCAAGACCTATCAAACACCTGTTGGTGGTTTACACCTGTAATCCCAGCACTCAAGAGAGAGAGGAGGGCCAGGTGCTGGTGGCTCATACTTGTAATCCTAGTTATTTAGGAGGCTGAGATCTGAGGATCACAGTTTAAAGGCAGGCCAGGTAAGAAAGTCTGTGAGACTCTTTGCTCCAATTAACCACTAGATAACCAGAAGTGGAGCTGTGACTCAAAGTGGTAGAGTGCTAGCCTTGAACAAAAGAGCTCAGGGACAGTGCCTAGGCCCTGAGTTCAAGCCCCAGAACCAACCACCACCACCACCCCCCAAAAAAAGAGGGAGAGGAGTTGGAGGCCAGCATCAGCTACATAGTGGGACCCTACCTAAAAAATAAAACCAGACAAAACAAAATGCCAATGGAATGTGATGGTTAGCCATGGAATCAAATCCCAACTATGCCCTTCACCTTGGGCCCGTTATTCAACCTAAGACTGATTTTGTTACCTACATTATAATGTCATTTCTACTTCTTCCATCTCAGTTAAAGAAAACAACTCAGCTAGATCACTGGGAAAGAGAGAGAGTGGTGAGTCATAGTCCGGTTTCTAGGTGACATTAGTATATTCCTACAGCATGTTCTCCTCAGCTGTGGATTCATCTTCTCACCCTCATTGGGGTAGATATGAGTCCAAATGGGCCTAAAGGAGGAACACAAACTCAGAGTGGAGTTTTAAAGGACCCATGGAAGGAAGGATACCAAAGGGAATTCTGGGAGAGGAAGTAGCAGGCACAAAATCAGGTAAAAGTGAGATAATGCCCTTCGTTCACTCATTCAACAGATGCTGATCAGAAACTATTACAAGCAAGACCACAGGCATGAGTGATTGGTGCCTGTCCTGGGCTGAATTCTTAAGCCTGAAACCGAGAAATGACATCCAAAAGCCCCCTCCTTAAAGGTCACCACGGTGGGTCGTTTAGTTGGGAGACCTTAGGTTTCTGCCATTTAAGCCAGGTGGAATGACCATCTATGACTTGAGGCAAATCCATGTAGTTACCACTTCTGGGGCTGTTGCCTCAGTGTGACGTGAGGACAAGCATTAGCATCTCCGGAGCTGACTGCATTTGGTCCCAAGTAGGTGCTCAGGGGATGCTCTGAATCTCAGCCATCCCCTTGGACGGAACTTATGGAGCATGAGCTGCGGGACTCCCAGCTGCCCTTCCCGTGGGTGCCAGGGGCCTTGTGAAGGCTGCCGCTTCTGGGGCTATTTCCTGATCCCTCTGGGATTGATCCAACGGGACCCAAGGTGCAGGAGATCCCTTCTTGGAACCCACAAGGCAGGGGCGCTGCTCCAGGCTTAGATAAGGTTCTCTGCCAGCCCTTGGATTTGTGTCTCGAACCAAGTCCAGGGCCAAGGCAGCAGTGGCTGCACAGGAAGGATCCCGCTGCCCGCTCAGCAGGCACGCAGGGCCAGTGGGCTGACATTCCCCCCCCAAACCTATTTGTTCTACCTGGGGATTCTGCCTATTGGACTATTATCAGCGGGGGCCCCTAACAAGCTGATTAATACTAATGACAAAGAACCTAATTAACTGGATGAAACGGGTCCTGGAACAGTATCCAGAGGAAACTCCCCCACCCCAGGGTTGGTTGCCAGGTAACAGGCTCTGGACTGTAGCTAATCTGGGGGCAAGCTACAGTGAACCCAGGCAATTAAGAGATGTGGAGCCAGGAGAGAGTTTGGGCACAGTACCTTTCTGTTTCCCTCTCAGGACTTTAAAACCACGTGCTGATGTTGTTTTTATAGTAATTACAGAAAGACATGGTTATTATTTTTTTATATAAGATCTTCATTTCTATACAGGGTTTTCCACTGTGAGTGATGAATAATTGTTTTTAGGGGTACAGGGTAAGTCAGGCTACCAGTTCCCTTAGTGAGCAAAAGGGAGAGCTCAATGTGCATCCATATTTTGAACTATAAACTAAACATTTTCTCTTACATATGCTAAATCAGGCCAAGCAACAGCCTGCCTTATTCATGGATTTACCATTGCATGTAGTTTGGACCAGCATGGTTTAAAAAAGTTTTTTGTTTTTTAAATCAAAAGAAATTTCAAGAGCTGGGAAGGTGGCTCAGTGGTAGAGCGCTTGCCTTGCATGCCTGAGGCCCTGGGTTCGATTCCTCAGCACCACATAAGCAAAAAGAAAAAAAGCCAGAAGTGGCGCTGTGGCTCAAGTGGTAGAGTGCTAGCCTTGACCTGAAGAGCTGAGGGACAGCGCCCAGGCCCAGAGTTCAGGCCCCACGACCAGACCCCCCCCCAAAAAAAAAAAGAAAAAAAGAAATTTCAAAACCAAACATTTTAAATTTCCATGCACACATCATGTAGCTCACTGTTTCCCTGTTCTTTCTTTTTCTCTCCCAATATTGGAACTTGAGCTCATGGCTTCTTGCTGTTCCTTAGCTTTTATGTTCAAGGCTGATTCTCTATGACTTGAACCACACCTCCACTTCCAGCTTTCTTTTGCTGGTTAATTATAGAGAGGAGCTTCATGGATTTTTTCCCCCCACCCCTGGACTGACTTCAAACCTTGGTCCTCATGTCTCAGCCTCTTGAGTGGCTAGGTTTATAGGTATGAACAACCAGTGCCCAGCCTTCCCTATTTTTCATTTCGTAAAAATCTGCATCCTGGGCTGAGAATGTAGCTTAATGGTAAAGTGCTAGCCTAGCATGCATGATGCCCTGGGTTCAATTCCTCAGTACCACCTAAATGGAAAAGGCCAGAAGTAGCACTGTGGCTCAAGTGGTAGAGTGCTAGCCTTGAGTAAAAGAAGCTCAGGGACAGTGCCCACGCCCTGAGCTCAAGCCCCAGGACTGGCAAAAAAAAAAATCCTGTATCTTCATCTTGGGAAGGGAGAAGTTCCCACAAAATGAAATTTACTATGTTGCACCTTCATAGAGTGAAGACTGTGAGAGAGGGTTTGGCTTGAGGGACAGTGGGAGCAATAGCATGGCTCAGATGCAGTGTTCCTCAGTTGATATTTGAATTGAAACTCCTTTGTACAACTACTTAAAGATAATAATAATAAAAAAAAATCTGTCCCCCCCAAGGTAAAAGGTATCCTAAAGTCAGATCAAAATGAGTGTGGTTAACTGAAGTGATAAGGGAAAATGGAGCTGTTGAAAGGTGGCATCTTTGGTGGGAGTTGGCTGCTGTTGTGGGGAAATGAATCGAGCATCTGCAGAACAGTCTGGAGGCTTTTCCTCCATAGGGGTCTTGCTGGACCTGTGGACACCAACGGTCTATTATATTAACTCCGGTCCTCTGGGGACCATGTAGTCTAGCAGTCCTCCACTTTACGTCTTCTTGAGAAGGGCAGATGGGGAATCCAAGAGTGCTCCAAGTTGTCTAACCGTAGCCAGGCGCCTCCCCACCCTGCTCAACTCCCACCTGCACAAGGCAAGTGCGAGGCACACACGGATAAAGTGAGGTCACTATACATCCTGGTGTGAGCGGAACACTCGGAGCCACTGCGCATGTGTTTCTCTGAGGATTGGTACAGGATCCTTGTGTGGTGGCAAGCAACTCTCAAGTCTGGGCCAGTGGTCTATCCTGCTAGTCCCTCACCCCTCCCAAGCATGGCTCTCCAGGGTCATTTTTTCCCTCTTCTCATCAGAATTACTTGGGATGAAGTGGGAAAGGAAAGGTAATGAGTAAAAGTAAGAGAATGCTTTTCACAGATATCTTTGTGTTCTCCAAATGTAGAGCCTCTTTTCCTGAGCCTCTTCCTCTCTGCCCATGGCACAGAAAGCCCTAGATCTAAACTCCTTGTCTAGAAAACTCAAGAGCCTAAAGTGCATCTCCAGGGCCAGGAGGTCGATCAGGAGCGATGCTAGCCACAGCCTCAGAGCTCAATGCATGTGTATGTAACCAAACATGTTGATGAGAGCGTATTCACCAGGGAGGATTCCGATGCGGTAAATCCTGTGAGCCTACAGTTTAACAAAACCAACACCAGGAAGCTAGAACATGTGATGTGGGAGGAGTTCAAAGGGGGCAGATGAATGGAGAGAGGATAGTGGGCAAATGCAGTTATCATACTCAGTGCAGGGGCTGAGAAGGTAACTCAGTGGTAGAGTCCTTGTCTTGCATGTATGAGGCCCTGGGTTTGATTCATCAGCACCACATAAGCAGAAAAAGCCAGAAGTGGCGCTGTGGCTCAAGCGGTGGAGCGCTAGCCTTGAGCTGAAGAGCTCAAGGACAGCACCCAGGCCCAGAGTTCAGGCCCCATGACCAATACTCCCCCAAAACAAAACAACAAAAACAACTCAATGCATATGGTGAAAATGGAGCCGGGGAGGGGTGGGGATGGGGGCGAATGATCCCCTTAGTACAACTACTTACAAAGATAATTTTTTTGTTGTTGTTGGTCATGGGGCTTGAACTCTGGGCTTGGGTGCTGTCCTTGTGCTCTTCAGCTCAAGGCAAGCGCTCTACCGCTTGAACCACTTCCAGATCTCAGCCTCTTGAGTAGCTAGGATTACAGGTATGAGCCACCAGCGCCCGGCAAAGATAAGTTTTTTTTTAAGATAAAAAATTAGTTGTTTGGCATTCTGGAAGAGAGGTAAAGTTGCTCATAGCAAGGCCTGGCCAATGCCAAGGCCCTGGGCACTGGAGCTACCCTGGGGCTGAGGGCAGCAGCATCTTACAGCTATGCTGGTGAAGTTCCCTTTAGCCCGCCCATGGTCCCACCCATGATGCAAAGAATCTTGGGACAGGCTCCAGGAGGTTGGACAGCCTGTCAAGGTTTAATGGATGGCAGATGACGCTGGGAATTAAAAGAAGATAGAATGGTTTCCATGGCAGATTATCAAAGAACTCCCACATCGTTCTACCCACACAGACAGGAAATAATGGAGATATTATTAAGAAACTGGCTCCCTTAGGCCACGGGCTACTGGAATGATGGATATTTTTTTTTTTTTTTTGTTGGTCACAGGGCTTGAAATCTGGGCCTGGGCACTGTCCCTGTGCTCTTCAGCTTAAGGCAAGCACTCTACCACTTGAGGCACAGCGCCACTTCTGGTTTTCTGGTGGTTTATTGGAGATAAGAATCTCATGGACTTTTCTGCCCAGGCTGGCTTGAAACGTGAGCCTCAGATCTCAGCCTCCTGAGTAGCTAGGATTACAGGCATGAGCCACCAGTGCCCAGCCGATTTCTGTGTTCGTGTATGTGTGTGTCTTGAGGTTTGAACTCAGAGCCTAGGCTCTGTTCTTGACCTTTGTGCTTAAGGACAGTGCTGTCTCACTTGAGCCACAGCTCCATGTCGGCAGGATGGATTGCTCATCCCATGTGTTCTTTTGGGGTTTGCCTTCTCCCCGTGGCCACTGGAAATGACCCACAGGTAGGATCCCTGGGTTTACTGGGCTTCAAGAGTAGCTTTGAGGCCTTTCTAAATGTGATGATGGTTGGTAAGTCAACTGATGAGAGAGGAGAGGCGTATGCTGTATTAAGCAAATGGCGGCACTCGGGTATCCATGAAGAAGCCCTCACCTTAGGTTGTATCTGACTGCCACAGCCAAGGACTGGAAAGGGTGTCACTAGATCTATATATTCAGCACCCATCAAAGCAGGCTCAGCACCAAGGCACCAAAGGTACTCTCAACGGACTAAAATTGAGGGTCCAAGAGAATGCAGTCCCTCTCCAATAGAGAGCCAAGGCAGGATGTGGAAAGCTCAGAATGAACAAGTTTCCAGAGTTGGAAGTGAAGTCTAACTTCATGTGGTCTTTCAGGCTTCCCCAATCTACTTCCTTCTCTCTTCTTGTATCCTGTTCCATTCAGATGACAAAGATGCCCACAGTGCCTTCCACTTCCCTCTAACGGGGGATGCTATCATTAATCCACACCATCACCGGACCCTGCACCTAGAAAGCCTTTCTCCTGCCGGTGTAGTAACACATTGTTTAGTGACTGCCTCCTCCTCCTCAGATTCTGAGCCGCACAGAGGTAGAACTATGTATGCCATAGCCACTGTTATATCTGAGTACTTACAAAGTCCCTTGTACACAGTAAATAAGTGCTTAATAGCTAACTGTCAAATAAATGACTAGCTAGCAGATGTGTCAGGCACTGGGTTCTATGTGAGACCTCTAACCTTCACAAAAACTATAAGAGGGGGTAGAATGGGAGCCCCATTTTAGAGTGAAGAGCATCAAGTTTTCAGAAAGCCAAGGGACTTGCCAAGGAGTGGGGAAGACTGGAAGACACCTCTACTGAAGCCAGCGCAACATGAGGCCACTACAACTCTGGCAAGCCCACTAGGGAGAGGAGCACACATTTGCTAGTGCTGGGCCAGCAGATGCAACGGCTCCCCCTCCCCCACCCCCAGCTGTGCCCCACACCTTGCCATGTCAACGAGCGATGAGGACAGAACAGGTGTTATCTCTGTTAGTAAAAAGACAGCCGAACATGCAAACAGCCCCCTTGTGAGATGCAATGGGGCAGAGGGCGCTTGGCCACCTACCGGCATAGTGGTAATTTGCTAACGGATGGCATTTTAACCTGACTGGTTTCTGCAGCAGCAGCATTTCCAGAGTAGCCTGTGGATGCAGAAGAGAGAAAAGGCAAGAGTCAGTCATCAGTGTGCTCAGCCTTGGGAGACTAGCTACACTCAGGGGTTAAGGGTTAGCCCTTACAGAGAGCCCAGGGTGTGAGACACGGGGAAGAAAACCAGTGGGAGATAACTCTCACTGGGGTTTCCTTTCTGTTCAACACCAACAGGACATGCTACTCTAACACCTCTCTGGCCCATGCCTGAACCCCCTGGCTAACATAGAAGGCACAAGTGGTGGCTGAGATTCCAGTCCTCCTTTGGGGCCCGCTCTGGTATCTGAAATGGGTGGGACTTCCTGAGTAGAGGGAGCACTGATGTCAGAAATGGGTGGGACTTCCTGAGTGGAGGGACACTCCTCTGGATCTCAGGGGAAGGAGCAAGTGACTGGTACAGCTTTATAGAAAACCCATGTCTCATTAGCCTTGGGCATCAATAGCATATTAGTAGTAAGTAAACTAGTGTCCTTTCAGGGAGCGTCACCACGTGAGTCTCTTCCAATCTGTCTCCTCGGTTGTCTCAGCTTTTTTTTTTTTGGTGCCAATTCTGGGTCTTGAACTCAGGGCCTACATGCTGTCCCAGAGCTTTTGTGCTCAAAGCTCATACTCTAACACTTGAGCCATAGCTCTACTTCCAGCTTTTTGGAGAGTTAATCTGAGATAAGAGTCTCACACGCTTTCCTGCCTGGGTTGGCTTCAAACTTCTGTCCTCAAATCTCAGCCTCCTGAGTAGGTCGGATTACAGGTGTGAGCCGAGGGCACCAGGCTCATGTCTGCTTTTAAAGAAATGCTGTAGGCAGAGTGGGGTAGTGGATGGTTTAAGGAAGAGGAAGGCTAGAGAAGCTAGTGGCTCATATGTATATGTATATATATATATTTTTTTAATTTTTTTTGTCATAGGGTGTGAACTCTGGGCCTGGGTGCTGTCCCTCAGCTCTTCAGCTCAAGGCTAGTGTGTTACTATTAGAGCCACAATGCCACTTCTGGCTTTTTCTGCTTATGTGGTACTGAGGAAGCGAATCCAGGGCCTCATGCATGTGAGGCAAACACTCTACCACTGTGCCACCTTCCCTTGTTTTTAGTTCTTTTTTTTTTTTGGGTCCGGTCGTGGGGCCTGAACTCTGGGCCTGGGCGCTGTCCCTCAGCTCTTCAGCTCAAGGCTAGCGCTCTACCACTTCAGCCACAGCACCACTTCTGGCTTTTTTCTTTTTGCTTATGTGGTGCTGAGGAATCGAACCCAGGGCCTTAAGCATGCAAGGCAAGTGCTCTACCACTGAGCCACCTTCCCAGCCCTTGTTTTTAGTTCTTATCCAGCACTGGTGCTTGAACTAAAACTCATGCTCTCACTTGGCTCTTTTGCGCAAGGCTGGCTTTCTACTACTTAAGCCACACCTTCACTTGCTCTTTCATGGTTAATTGGCAATAAGAGTCTCACGGACTTTTCTATCCTAGCTGGCATTGAACTGTGATCCTCAGATCTCAGCCTCCTAGCAAGCTGGGTTTACAGGTACAAGCCATGGTGCGAGGCTCAATGGTTCCTTTTCTAGATTTCTTACCATCACATCACCTTTGGCCTCAAAGAGAGAGTGCAAAGCAAATTCCGAATTGGTTCCGCCACCCGGCAATGCACTTGAACAGCACAAATTCAGAAGATTCTCCACTGTGGACGAGAAATTGTATCAGAGAGAGCTTCGTGTCATGAAGAAACACAGCAAGGATCTTGACCTAGCAGCCTTCTGGGAGAAACCAGCATGGCTGCCCAGCTCCTCCTCTGCGTGAATACCTCGTTGGTGGAGGTCTTGGTTTTCCAGCTCTGGCCAGGGCTTCCATACCAGCGTGGCCTTGTGTGTGTCTTGGCCGAGGGAAGAGACGTCCCGCAGTTCTGGGATCTCTGCTTGGAATCTCAAGCCAATGTTGATACGTCTTTAAGGACAAGAAACAAACAAACAGGGTGGTCATTAATTTGATGGGCTAGGCTGAGGGAAACTCAAGAACGTTTGCCTGAGCTTCACAGCTTCCTGTAACTGGAGTGGAAGAGCTGGCCAGAACATGGTCAAGGGACCCAGTAAACTAGAAAGAAAAGGGACAAATATAATAAAAGAATGACTTTTGCCATCCCTCTCAGGCCCATTTGCAACGTTGGTCAATAGCATAGGAGATGTTGTAGCGAGATGACCCTCACATCCAAACCTTCCTACCTGAACCTTCCCCAAATCTAGGGTAGAAACAAAGCAGTAATAATTACTTCTATTTAATAGGAGTCCCAGTCTAGAAAGGTTAACTTGATATAGATAACCAACAAAATAGTGTAAGAAATCAGTTATACTATCTATCTATCATCTCTCTGGCACTCTATCAGTTAGCCTTTTTCTGGGCTTATCTGGAAAAGAACTACTTTTCTCTTCCATAATACATTATGTGTCTTTAGCTATAACCTAGTCTTAATCAAGGCTAGCCTCTCTTTCACTTGAGCCACAGCTTCACTTCCAGCTTTTTGGTGGTTAATTTAATTAGAGATCAGAGTCTCAGAATTTCCTGTCCTGGCTGGCTCCAAACCATGACCCTCAAATCTCGGCCTCCTGAATAGCTAAGATGACAGTTTATCCACTCTCTCAGTAGCTACTGACTTCTTAAATACTGACTTCTCAAAGCTCCTGATCTCTTTCCTCAGCAGAGCTTCTATTCTCAAGAACAAATGGCTTTTGCTTACGGTTCAACATCCACAGTCTGTTCTCCAGGGCCTGGGGTGATGGTCACACTGCTGCCATCAATGCTGTCTGAAACAGAAAGAACAGAGGTCACTAGCCGATAGGGAAAGGGTTGGCTAACCCATACAACAAGCCACTCATACGACCACTGGCGGCCTCTGCAGAGCTGGGTAAATAGGATAGGGCTAAATGGCTGAGCGCCGCTCATTTGTTCACATGAGTTGAGGAACACCAAGATCCTGGCTTCATTATGCACACTAAGTAATATGATTTCAAGGCAATTATTCTTGCTCCAGAAAAGCATTCTGGTTTTATTGAACGTGGGGCCTGGGCACTGTCCCTGAGCTCTTTGGCTCAAGGCTAGTGCCCCCTACCTCTCTGAACCACAGCACCACTTCCAGTTTTCCGGTGGTTCTTTGGATTTAAGAGTCTCATGAACTTTCCTTCCTCTGGCTGGCTTTCAGATTGCGACTAGAAATTGTCAACGGATGCTTTTGCTCATCAGCTAACTCTCTAAACCAGCCATGCCTCTAAACCCTAAAGGCTTGGTTCTTTCTTTTCTCCCCATGATTTTATTTTCTTTTGCCGGTCGTGGGGCCTGAACTCTGGGCCCGGGCGCTGTCCCTCAGCTCTTCAGCTCGAGGCTGGCGCTCTACCACTTGAGCCACACAGCACCACGTCCGGCTCGTTCTGCTTGTGGGGTGCTGAGGAATCGAACCCGGGGCCTCCCGCATGCCAGGCAGGCGCTCTACATGGAGCCTGCGCCCCCCCCCCCCCCGGAGGTCAAGGCCTGCAAGTGATGGCGCACTGTCTCCACGGCTGTGGCGCGGCAGCACGGGGGCACCCGGCGTGGGGCGGCGGACTCACTGGAGCGGCAGAGCAGCACGCGCGGCGTGGGCGTGAGCGGCGTGAGCGGCAGCGGCGGGTGGGCGCCCGCGCCGTGGCCCGCGGCCAGGACGCTGCTGAAGAGCCCGGAGCCCTGGCGCACGGGGCTGAGCATGGGCGGCGGCGTGTAGGGCGGCGGCTCGCGGGCGTGGTCGGGGAGCAGGGGGTCCCCCAGCGCCCGCGGGGAGCGCAGCTGGCTCTGGTACAGCGTGGCGCCCGACGGGGCGGGCGGCGGCGGGATGAACAGGGGCTCGGGCCGGTGGCGGAACCGCTTCTTGTCCGGGGCGGCTCGGAGGGGCTCCTCGGCCTTGGCGGCGCTGGGCTGCGGCTTCCGGGCGAGGTCCTGCGGGGGGGGGGGGGGGTGAGGAGTCAAACGGGGGACCCCAGGCCCGCCGGACGCCCCACTTCCGGTGGCCGGGCCGAGGGAGGACGCCGGGGGACGGGGGCCCGTCGGGCCGGGTCCGGCTGGGCGGACTGGGGACAGAAAGCCCGTGTCCCGAGAAGGGGACGCGAGGACTGCTCGGGACGGGGCCCAGACAGGAAGAGGCCTGGGCCTCCTCGTGGCCCACCGGGCCGCCAGCCGCTGCGGCCTCCAGCGCCGGCCTCCCTCTTCCTGGCTGGCCTCCTCTGCTGCTCAGTGCTCCTCCTCCTCCTTCCCTCCCTTCTCAGGGTACCCTCCTCCCCCTCCTCTTCTTCCTCCACTTTCTCCTCTTCCACTTTCTTTCTTTATTTTTGTCGATTATGGGGCTTGAACTCTGAGTTCTTCAGCTCAAGGCGAGTGCTCTACCACTTGAGCCACAGCACCACTTCTGGTTTTTGGTGGTTCATTGGAGATAAGAGTCTCATGGACATTCTTGCCCGGGCTGGCTTTGAACTGTGATCCTCAGATCTCAGCCTCCTGAGTAGCTAGGATGACAGACCTGAGCCACTGGTACAGGCCTTCCTCCTTCCCTTCCTCCCCCTTCCTCCTCTTCTTTCTCTCCCTCTCCCTTCTCTTCCTCCTTCTCTGCCTCCCCTGGGCCTCTTATCAGCCATGGCCGCCAGGCCGGTAAGGAAACTCTTGCCTGACAGGAAACTCTGCCCACATGGACACAGATACAAATAAGTAAACAGATGCGTGTAAATAGAGAAGCTGGGCACGCCAAAGCCACACAGAAACAGACCAGGGGCGTGTGCCAGCATCAGTCCAGAGAAGAGGGGGGCTGGCATGGGGTATGGGGAGGAGGCACTGGGAGCAGGGCAGCTCTAGCAATGGGGTGATGGCAAAGCTGACCACAGTCCCCTGACCAGCTGACTCCAGGAAACGGCCTGCCACGGTGGGACCCTCAGCTCCGGGCTCCACTCCACAGAGCCTGGAAGCTCGATTGCGGGAGCCACAGCTCCCCTAACTGCTTTTTTTTTTTTTTAAATGATGAATTGAAGATCAACCTCATGGACTTCCCTGGCCTCAAACCACAGTCCTCAGACCATAGCCTCCCAAGGAGCTAGGATTATAAATCACCGGCACCCAGCTGCGCTCTCCTCCCCTTCTGTCCTGTTACTCCTGCTCTAACCAGGAGCCCTAACTCAGAGCCTTCAAGAAAGGCTCTGGATAACCTGGGCCACAGAAACCACGCAGAATGGGACTCTGAACCACCAGTGCCCAGCTCTAGACTTATTATTTTCCTTACATCCATCCTGCTCAACCCGATCTTCAAGCCGCTAGCATTCCCAGTAGTTATTTATTCTCTAAGGACAAAGAGGACTTAACACCCTATTCTGAGGACACGGACAGGTCTGATAGAGCTAGCCACGAGTGACAAATTCCCCAGGGTGGGAAGAGGGAGAGAGAAGAGAAGGGATTTGAGAACCAGAAGAGTGGAATGGTGACGAACGCCAATCACTTTGCTTTCCTCAGGCTGGGGATGGTGGGCTCCCAGTGGAATTTTCTGGGAAGTTTAATGAATTACGTTCTCCAGATTATTATTATCTTGTAAGGCTGACAATCATCAGAAAGGATGTGGCCTCACGGTGTGGCTGAATTTGGAGGTTCTAGGGAGAGCCAGGCAACTGTTTATTATCTTGGGCAGAAGTACTTCCATATTTTTCATTTGTTTGTTTTTGTGTGCCAGTCCTGGGGCTTCAACTCAGGCCCCTGGACATTGTCTCTGAGCTTTTGTGCTCAAGACTAGTGCTCTACCACTTGAGCCACAACTTCACTTCTGGCTTTTTGATGGTTAGTTGGAGATAAGAGTTTTACAGATTTTCCTGCCCAGGCTAATTCTGAAACTCGATCCTCAGATCTCAGCCTCCTGAGCAGCTAGGATTACAGGTGTGAGCCACCAGTGCCCGGCTATAGTTCCATAGTTGAGTAACTGGATGGGGCTGTATCTTTGGCAGTGTGCTGACTTATCACCTCTGGCATCACCCTGACTCACAGAAAGGAGCCCATGGCTCAGGTGAATGGGAGACGGGCACTCATAAGACAATGGAGGCCTAGACATGTCCGAACTCGGACCATGGACATGGGAAGAACTGTCCCCATCTCCAAAGAAAGCAAAGAGATGTCCCCAGGAGAGACAGAGCAGCAACTCACAGTGGGCACGCAGGGGGCAGCCCCAGGGGGCGAGCGGGGCGGCGACAGCGCCATCCTCACGAGCACGGGCATCTGTTCGTCCGCCGTCGAGCTGGCTGGCTTGTCTCTGGCAGAGGGGGGTGGCGGCGCCGCCGGTGGTGAAGCCCTGCGGGCCGGGCTTGGGCGGGAGAAGCTTGACAGGGACAGACACGGGCATGACCATGGGCGTGAGGCTTTCGGCCTCAGGAGGGAGCTGCGGTGGCGGAGGCGGCAGTGGCGGTGGAGGCGGAGGCGGCAGCGGTGGCTGGACCTTCTCTCCTTCCTCCTACACAGAGGATAAAGGCTTTGATCCTGGGTTTGAGCTGGCAGCAGCTCTCCCTGAATAGTTCTAGGACCCAGGGCCTGGGTGACTGAGGACCAATGCTGGGTGGCAATCTTCCCAGCAGCCCTGGGGCCCTTGGTGGAGCAATGCCTGGCTGGCCGACCAAGCCAGACATCCTACTACAACGTGGACATGCTATCACAATAAAACACTGAGCATGGGTTTTCACTGCCTATAAAGGAAAGGATTGGGATTTGTCTTCAATGAAGAATGAAATACAATGTGTGCTCTTACACAGGAGTCTTTAACCCTATAGGCCCGAGTTGATTGTTACCGAGGCTAGGAAACCACGTTGAAAATGAAAAATCATGCTACTGGTGTGGTTCGGAGCAACAGTTTTGTTGTGTAGCCCAGAATGGCCTCAGGCTCTCGATCCTCCAGCCTCAGCCTCCAGAGCGCTGGGATTTATGGGCACACGTCATCATGCCTGGCATAAAACATGCTATTTAAGGAAAAAACTCAAGTCATAGCTCTTTAAGCTGGTATGGCCAGGAGACAGCGAGATCTAGGTAGTCCAAAATGTTGATTAATTGAGAATAAATCCCATGAAATCAGCATTATTCAAAGGGTTCTAGGGAAATGCTTTGGTCGAACTCAGAAATGCATAGATGGTTTGTCACCCAGAAAATACAGAAGGTGTTCTAGGATCTTTGGATGCTAGCCCACCACTGCACCGGTGGGCTGAAAATGATGACTGCGGGACTGATGGCTACACTGACCACTGATGCTGTGTGTGCACACACGCGCACACACACACACGTGCACGTGTCTGTGCTGGTACTGGGGCTTGAACTCAGGGCCTGGGCACTGGTTCTGAGAGTTTTTGCTCAAGCCTGGCCATTCTACTACTTTGAGCACAGCTCCACTTCTGGATTTCTGATGATTCACTAGAGATAAAGTCTCATGGACTTTCTTATTCAGGCTGGCTTCAAACCGTAGTCTTCACACCTCAGCCTTCTGAGTAGCTAGGATTATAGGGATAAGCCACCAGCATCCGGTTCTGACTACTAACTTTTGGAGGCCCACGTAGCCATGGGATTGGGTGCTTCAAAGCAGCACACATTCAAAGGAACACTACAGTTACGGGTTTTCTTTTGCTGTCTTCTCCAGCAGGTTGGGCGAATTCTAGGGAATTCCCTAGAAGGATCTCTTAAGCAGTGTCATTTCTGATAAAGCCAGGAGGAGAGATGGGAGCTTGGGGCCCATCTGGCTAACAGCGTCCAGACTCAGGCTTTGTGGTGTGGGGAGCACTAGACACTCCTGTGTCCACATGCAGCCTCCAATCCCTCTGTCTCACACAGTGTCTGACAGCGGCAAAGCAAAGCAAGCAGCACATGGCCTAGAAGAACAGGAGCCTGGCTTCTGCTAACCTGTTTGAGGCTCGGGGAGGCCCTCATTCCCCCGTGGGACCGCATGTGGCCGTTGAGGGCAGGGAGGCTCTTGAACTCCTTCAGGCAGATGGAGCAGGTCAATTTGTTCTTGGCATCCAACGGCTCTCCCAACACTCCTCTGGGCTGGCCACTGCCCCGGGGTAGGACCACAAGGAGAGCACACACGGTTAGTTAAGGAAGGAGCAACAGTACCGACCATCAGATCGCACACGCACACCTCTTATTTCTCCTTTGTCTGTAACCCTTCTTCCATACCTTCTAGAAAACTAAGCTCAGTTTGCAGATGAAAACTAAGGCTCGGGGGCTGGGAATGTAGCTGAGTGGTAGAGTGTTTGCCTCGCACGCATGAAGCCCTGGGTTCAATTCCTCAGTACCACATACACAGAAAAAAGCCAGAAGTGGTGCTGTGGCTCAAGTGGTAGAGTGCTAGCCTTGAGCAAAAGAAGCTCAGGGACAGTGCCCTGGCCCTGAATTCAAGTCCCCGGACTGGCAAAAACAAACAAACAAAAAACCCCAAGGCTCCAGACTGGGTATATCATCCTAGTAGTAGAATGCCTGCCTACCACATTCAAAGCCCCGTGTTCCAATCTCAGTGCTTGCAACAACAACAATAACAAACTCAAGGTTCAGAGGTGAGAAAGGGATTTTTTTTAGCTGGCACTGGGGCTTACACTGAGAGTGTCAAGCTTCCCTTTGGTCTTTTTGGCTCAAGGATGGTGCTCTACTCAGTTATTTGAGCCACAGCGCCACTTCTAGCTTTTTGCTGATTAACTGGAGATGAGAGCCTCCTGGACTTTTCTACCTGGACCTGGTTCGAACTGAGATACTCAAGATCTTAGCCTTCTGAGGAACGAGGATTACAGGCATGAGCCACTAGTGACCAGCTAGCAACCGCGACCAGGCACTGGGTTCATTCCAAAGCCTAGCTCTGTACCTGGCACATGGTAAGTGTTCAATCAATGCTCACGGGCTGAATAAAAATGGAAAGAACATGGCATTTCCCCATGACTCCTCACGTGATGTATAAGTGTAAGCTCCCTGAGCCTCACTGCGCTCATGTCTTTCAATGATCCACGGCCACCCGCCATTATGCTGCCTCTCGGCCTTATTTTACCACACGTGGTCATAGACCGTGGCAGGTATTCCCCAACATGGCTGCTGTGTTTCAGAAATTGACTTTAGAAATGAGCCGTGAAAGACAACCCAGGAACCCCTTCCCCTCCCCCACCCCACCCCGTTCTTCCTACCTTGACTCCGGGGACCCCGGCTGGGCTCTCCCATCAGGCAGGTGCATCTAATGGGGACACCAAAGGAAACAAGAAAGAGAAAAGTACATGTGAAGGGGGAGAATCATTCTCAAGTGGTAAGAACCCGGGGATCTATCCTTCTAGAACTTTCCTGCTCACGATGATCTTGCTCATGTCCTCTCTGGCCTCTCTTTCAGGCCTCATTTCTTTCTCTTAATTTCTCTCTGACTAAGGACAGGCTCCACACCTGAAGACACCAACTCCTGCCATCCTCCTCCTTGACTCAGTACGCCTATTCCACCCAGACGGGCTCTCTGTCCCCCTAGAAGCATGGAGCAGAAACATGAGTGGCACAGAATCTTGCTAGACCTCTGGAATTCCTCCCTTCACAGCCTTGACACTCACTCCAGGCTCTCACTACTGGGTGTGGGCCCAGGCAAACAAGGTGGCAAGGCAAGTTCACCGATGACCTTCAACCTCCATTAGAGATTTCTCTCCACTCAACTAGTTCCAATCTGGGGTCCCTTCTTCTAAAGTCCTTGCCATCAAATAAATGCAACAGTTGGAATATACTAAGGTAGGAACAGCGTCCCGCACACAGGAGGTTCTTTTATGGTCAAAATACTTTGGAGGAACTAATCAAAAATTAATAACTATAGTCAGGCATCCGTGGCTCACACCTGTAATCCTATCTACTCAGGAGGCTGAGACCTGAGGATGCCAGTTTGAAGCACCTGGACGGGGAAGTCTGTGAAATTCTTATCTCCACTAAAGTACCGAAAAAGCTAGAAATGGAGCTGTGGCTCAAGTGGTAGAGCACTAGCCTTGAACAAAAGGAGCTCAGGCCTTGAGTTCCAGTCTCAGGGGTGGCACAGAAATAAAGAAAAAGAAAGAAAGAAGGAAGAAAGGAGGGAGAGAGGAGAGGGAGGGAGGGAAGAAGGAGGAAGGAAGGAAGGAAGGAAGGAAGGAAGGAAGGAAGGAAGGAAAGGGAAGGAAGGAAGGAAGGAAAGGGAAGGAAGGAAGGAAGGAAGGAAAGGGAAGGAAGGAAGGAAGGAAGGAAGGAAGGAGGGAAACAATCAGTAACTACAGTCCCAGGGCTCAGTCTGGCCTGTAGACATATTTAATTTGGTAGACTTAAAAAAATTTCTTTTTTCATCCAAGATGAGGACTCAAACTTGGTACCTGATGCTTTTGCCCCTGGCTAGCGCTCCACCTACTGAGCCCTTCTTCCCACCCCCGGTAGACTGTTTTTTAAAACTCTGAATGACACAGAGTGCTTGCTTTCCAGGTCTAACTCGGCCTCTACCACTCCATATTGTCTCCTATCCTACCAGACCATTTTATTTTTATTTTTTGCCAGGTTTTCTTTCTTTTTTTTTTTTTTGGGTCCAGTTGTGGGGCCTGAACTCTGGGCCTGGACGCTGTCCCTCAGCTCTTCAGCTCAAGGCTAGCACTCTATCACTTGAGCCGCAGCGCCACTTCTGGCTTTTTTTCTTTTTGCTTATGTGGTGCTGGGGAATTGAACCCAGGGCCTCATGCATGCAAGGCAAGCGCTCTACCACTGAGCCACCTTCCCAGCCCCTTTGCCAGGTTTTCATCTCCACGACTGTATGTAGCATCCTCTTTGAAAGAGTCATGCTGCGCACTGCTGTGTCACAGGAGAACCCTGCAGTAGGAAAACATGGCTCACTTTTTTTTTTTTTTTTTTGTCATTGGTAGTGCCAGTGTTGGTGCTTGAACTCAGGGCCTGGGCGCTGTCCCTGAGCTTTTCTGCTCAAGCTAGAGCTCGCTGTACCACTTGACTCACAGCTCCTCTTCCAGTTTTTTTGGGGTACTTAATTAGAGTCTCACAGATTTTCCTGACCTGGCTGGCTTCGAACTGTGATCCTCAGATCTCAGTCTCCTGAGTAGCTAAGGATGACAGGTGTGAGCCACTGGTGCTTGGCTCCAGTTCACTTTAAGAAACTTCGAATTTATCTAGAGAGCCCATAGCTTCTCCAACACTGTCTATTAACATTCTGCAAAACGATTGTTCTATATGATAAACTTTGAGGAATTGTGTCCTAATACTTGCACAGGAAGATCAACTTCACAGACAATACCCCAAGGACACAGATTCAAGATGTGTATGTGTGTGTGAGTATAAGTACCAGGGGACAGTACCCTAGCACCTGACTCAAGATGATTATTACATGACTCATTTAGGACATAATACAGTATTTTTTTTTTGTCAGTCGTGGGGCCTGAACTCTGGGCCTGGGCGCTGTCCCTTAGCTCTTCAGCTCAAGGCTAGTACTCTACCATTTGAGCCACAGCGCCACTTCTAGCTTTTTCTGCTTATGTGGTGCTGAGGAATCGAACCCAGGGCCTCATGCATGCGAGGCAAGCACTCTACCACTGAGCCACCTTCCCAGCCCCAATAATGCAGTATTTTGGCCACATCTCCTTAGTGGGATTATAAGCTCTCTGGGTAAAGGACGGAATCAAATTAATTTTGCATCCCAAAGCCTGCCATAGTGCTTGGTGCATGTAGGTTTATGTTTTGTAGACTGCACCAAACCCAGAAAGCCTGAAGGCTGGCGAGAGGATTGGGCAAGGCAGAGCCTCAGCCCTGCTGGATCCTGTCTCCCACAGGGACGAGGGCAGAAGTGTCCCATGAGATACCTGGGGCCACATGGCACTGGGCGATGGCTGCTGAGGCTGAGACCCCATGTTGTTGAGGTGGACTCCACTGGGGGACAGGAGTGGCCGATGGGGGAGGGCACTGCTGACCCGACTCAGGTCCGAGCTCGCCGGATCTCCCATTCCTGTCTCCGGGGGGCCCAGGTCCCCGTGGGAACTGAGCATGGCTGGGGTCTGCCTATCGATCGAATAGGCTTTCAGCTGACTGTCCTCCCGTGGCTGCTGGGGCTGGGTTGCGTGGCTGTGCTGGTAGAGGGCGTGGCTGTAGGACTGCTGGGGCTCCTGGTAGTAGTACTGAGGCATGGAGCCCAGCTGGATCAGCTGGACGGCGTGCGCCTGCTCGGGGGTGTATTGGTGAGGGTCTCTGTGATATGACGGGGGCTGCAGGTGCACGGGCGGCGGCGGCTGCTCCTGCAAGTGCTGCTGCATCATGGGCTGGGCTTGGTAATACTGAGGTATCTGCATGGGGCCCTGCCGCGCCTGCAGGTGCACGGGTGTCTGCTGCTGCTGCTGAGGCTGGGGAGGGCGGATCTGTGGCGGCTGCGGGGGCTGCTGCTGCATTTCTTGCATGGAGACCCGCTGCTGCCCAGCTTGCTGCTGTGGAAAGTACTGGTGCTGCTGCACCTGGGGCAGATGCTGGGCCAGCACCTGTGGGGCCTGCAGAGGCTGGCCTCCCTGCAGGGGCATGGGAGGCAGAGGCTGCTGGTAGTCATAATACAGGTGGCCTTGGCTGGCGTGCTGCCCCACCTGCAGGGCTGGTTTGGACAGCCCACCTGGGAAGCCGGGGTGGGGCTGCTGGCCGGCCGGCTGGTAGCGGGAGGGAAGAGCGGAGGTGGGGGGCTCCAGGGGTTTCTGGGACAGCAGCTGGTGCAGGGCACTGTCGGGAGCCCCATCCATCACCGCTGACTGCGTGTGCAGCACCTGCGCCATGTTGTTGACCTGAATTCGCAGGTTCTGGTTGGCAAACACCTGGGTGAAGGAATCCAGCTTGTGCAAGACACCGCTGGTGAGCTTCTGGGTCCGGATCTCGCTGGCCTGGGCGTAGGTGTATTGGTAGGCGTCGGTGGGCTCCACCTGGGCCGGCGCCCCCCACATCATATTCGAGTTGGTCAAGTTGCCACGCAGTTGGACGTGGTTTCCGGTTCCGGCGTGGCCGCCCCAGCCCGCCTGCCTCGACGTATCCATTTGGCCAAGGTTTTTGGAGCCAATGGGTAAGCTCAGACCATCACGAGTATCTTGAGGGAAGTGGGGGGAGATGGGGGAGACCTGGGGGCCATCCATGCCACCCCCGGCCACTGTACTCCCATAGCTGTTGTTCAGCCCACCGTGGACACCCAGGGGTGGCTGTTGGTAGAAAAGGTTCTCACCACTGTGGGCCACGTGGTTGGTCTTGTACAGTTGCTGGTCCCCCATAGTGTCTGCCTTGGTGGTGGACGTCCAGCCACAAAACCATAAAGAAATTTTAAAAAGTAACTGAAGAAAATGCCCCCCCCCAAAAGATGGAAACCCTGAGAAGCTGAGTGGAAGTGTCCACACTACTCCACGGCGGACATGTCTGCGAGGGGGGTCGGAGGCAGGGGCTCCCGTCGGCCTGGACCACTCATGTGCAGAGCAAGGGGGACATCCTCACCCGGGCCGAGCAACCCCCCAAACAGCACCACCGCGAGGAGACGCTGTGCACACCTGCAAGATAAGATGCAAGGGAAAGGAACAGTTACTTGGACGTGGAGATGAGCGAGGAGGCGAGGGCTCACACCGGGGAGCCTCGCTACTCAGGAGGCTGAGATCTGAGGCTCGTGATTTGAAGCCTACCCAGGCAGAAAACTTCGCCAGAAGTGAAGTTGTGGCTCAAGTGGTAGAATACCAGCCTTGAGTGAAAACACACACACACACACACACACACACACACACACACGTAAACAAAACAGCCCACTGGATTAGAAGCAGCCAGGGTCATCTGCTTCAGTCTCTATAAATAATCCTCAGATCTGGGCTGTCACAGGACCTTTGAACTCTGACCCTGATCATCCTCCAACTGATAGTTCATTGGTTTATTATTTTTTGCTCATTGAGGAATCCATCCACCCTTCTGTCCACCCTCTGGGGGACATGAAGTTTTAAGACGTGCAATTGATCTGTTCAGCACCTACTAAGTGCAAGGCATGTTAGGAAATGATCAGGACGTGGGTGCACTCTTTATTCTGGGGGTACGGCGGTGAATTCTGGGCCTTACATGTGCTAGGGAGGCATTTGATTGCTTGAGACATGCTTTCCATCCTTCTTGCTTCCATTATCTTTTCTACTTTTTCTTTTCCTTGCCAGTCCTGGGGCTTGAACTTGGAGCCTGGGTGCTCTCCTTGGGCTCCGCTTTTTAAAAGCTCAAGGCTAGTGCTCTACCACTTGAGCCACAGCACCACTTCCGGTTTTCTGGTGGTTAATTAGAGAAAAGAGTGTCACAGACTTTCCAGCCTGGGCTGGCTTCAAACCTCACTCCTCAGATCTCAGACTTCAGAGTAGCTAGGATTACAGGTGTGAGCCATGGCGCCTGCCTGGCTTCAGTTATTTATTAGAAAGTCTTCTCCTATTTTTGCCCAGGGCAGCCTAAACCATGAGCCTTCTATTTACACTTCCCACAAGACAGCATGGTAGGCACACGCTAGCATGTCTAGTTATTGGCTGAGATAGAGTCACAGGAAAGTTTCCTCAACACAGGAAAGTTTCCAATTCCTTTCTTAATAGGAAGCTCTAAAAGAAATAATTATCTATAGTATGTATGTATATATGTATTTGGTGGTACTGGAGTTTGAACGCAGAGCTTTGTACTTGCAAGGCAAGTGCTCTATTACTTGAGCTAGGCTCCCGGGCCTTTTTGCCTGGACTATCATAAACCATGATCCTCCTCTTTGTGTTCCGTGAGTAGCTGGCATGACAGGTATACACCACTGTGCTTAGCTTTTTTCTTAGTTGAGATGGGATCTCCTGAACAGTTTTTTGCTTGGGTTGCTTTAAACTGTAATCCTACTGGCCTGAGCCTTCCAAGGGCTATAGATGTGGCTCAAGTGGTAAGATCACTTTCTTAGCAAACGTAAAGCAAGGAGTTCAGCCCCTCTACCACCCCCAAAAAGGATTTCCAATCATATTCTTTTTTTTTTTTGGTCTGGTCGTGGGGCCTGAACTCTGGGCCTGGGCACTGTCCCTCAGCTCTTCAGCTCAAGGCTAGTGCTCTACCACTTGAGCCACAGCGCCACTTCCGGCTTTTTTCTTTTTGCTTATGTGGTGCTGAGGAATTGAACCCAGGGCCTCAGGCATACAAGGCAAGCGCTCTACCACTGAGCCACCTTCCCAGCCCCTCCAATCATGTTCTTGCATGGAATTGGCTAACAAACAAACATGAAGCTGGGCGCCAGTGGCTCACGCCTCTAATCCTAGCTTCTCTGGAGGCTGAGGTCTGAAGACTGCGGTTCAAAGCCAGCCTGGGCAGGAAAGTCCATGAGACTCTTACCTCCAATAAACCACTCAGAAAACTGGAAGTGGTGCTGTGGCTCAAGTGATAGAGTGCTTTCCTTGAGCTGAAGAGCTCAGGGACAGCACCCAGGCCCAGAGTTCAAGCCCCACGACCGACAAAAAAAAAAAAAAAAAGGAAAACAAAAACAAAAAAACAAATACACACACACAAAAACTAAGAAACATGAAGCAATATTTTTCTTCTAGTCTGGGTGATAACATTATGGTCCGCCCTCTCTGATTCAATACAGACACTGCTCCTTCACAGGTGTGCATGTTGTATCTCAATACAAGTTTATTTTAAAAAGTCATCTAGCACTGAGGTACTGGTGGCTCACACCTGTAATCCCAGCTACTCAGGAGGCCAAGAGCAGAAAGATCACAGTTCAAGGACAGAAAAGTCTTGGAGATTCCAACTCCAAACAACCCACAGCTAAAAGCAGGACTGGAGGCATGGCTCAAGTGGTAGAGCACTAGACATGAGTAAGCAAATGGAACAAACATGAGGCCTTGAGTTCAAACCTCAACGCTGGTACAAAAAAAAGGAAATAAGCCATCTGGAACCACCCTCCTCCCATTGATTCATTATGACTTCCTTTTTTATATTTACTAATCATTAATTCAAATTAAAGAAGGCTCTATATTGTTGACCAACTGTATACCTTTTTTTTGTCAGTCCTGGAGGCTTGAACTCTAGGCCTGGGTGCTGTCCCTGTGCTCTGAATTCAGCTTAAGGCAAACATTCTACCACTTGAGCCACAGCGCCACTTCCAGTTTTCTAGTGGTTTATATTGGAGATAGGAGTCTCATGGACTTTCCTGCCTGGGCTGGCTTTGAACAGTGATCCTCAGATCTCAGCCTCCTGAGTAGCTAGGATTACAGGTGTGAGCCACCAGCACCCGGCTACTGTACACTATTAATAATTATACTAATAACTCAAATCTAGAGAAAATTTTAATACTTATAGTTTTATGATTTCAGGAAATTAAAAAGTTTCATATATATATGTAAACTTGTTACAGAGAAATAGCGTAGGGACACAAATGAAAGCATTTTAAGCATAAATATATATCACACTTACTGCATTAGGGCAAAATTCCCTGGGAGAGGATGAGACAGAAATAAAATTTCAAGGAGAAGGACAAGGATTATTGCAGAAGAGAGTGTTCATGTATTTTTAAAAAGCTGGGGATGGAATGGTTATGGTGTTTAGATTCCACTGGGTAAACTCGAAACAGTGATGTCATAGTTTTACTTAAAAATATCAATGTTTACAATACCGTGGAAGTCACATCTGCAAATAGATGATAAAAAAAAAGTAAACATAAACTTAAACATGGGTGAAGGGGTAAAGAGTTTTATCCAAAAGTCCCATAGGATGGATTTTAAGCAGAAATATGTGGAGAAGACCCTGGAACTTGAAGTGCTAAATGGGCACTGGAGGTTTCTGAGCAGAAGCAGGAGGGAGGTGGGTGTGTGGGGGCTGAGCTGTAGAAGCAGACGGACCAATTCCTTCTACTACTCAAAAAATGGTCCAGTCGGGTGCCAGTGGCTCACATCTGTAACCCTAGCTACTCAGGAGGCTGAGATCTGAGGATCACAGATCAAAGCCAGCCCAGGCAGGAAAGTTCATGAGACTCTTACCTTCAATTAACCAACAAAAAACTGGAAGTGGTGCTGTGGCTCAAGTGGTAGAGCACTCGCCACGAGCTGAAGAGCTGAGGGGCAGTGCCCAGGCCCAGAGTTCAAGCCCCACGACTGACCCCTCCACCCCCAAAAAAAGTGGGCCTGTTATCCCATCTACTTGGGAGACAGACTGGAGGATTGTGATTTGAGGCCAGCCTGTGCAAAAAGTCTGTGAGACTGTCAATGGAAGGAGCGTGGCATGGTGGTGCATGGTCGTTACACTAGCTAGGGCAGGAGCATCTCAGTCCTAGCAAAAATTGAGAGCCTGTTAGAAAAAGAACAAAAGCAAAATGGGCTAGAGGCATAGCTGAAGTGGTAGAGCACCCGTCTAGCCAGTGGGAAGTACTGAGTTCTAATGAAAGGAAAGGTAGTCTGGAAAGCAGAATGTCAGGTTCTGGCTGGGATCTATGCAGGGGAGAATCGGTCTGCATTTTAGCAGGCTTCCCACCCACAGGTGATTCCTGTGTACTTCCAATCTGAGAAGCACTGGGTCAGGGGCAGACACAGGCCGGGCAGACCCTACCCCTTCCAATTGTACCCTCCATCTGCCTTGGCATCCCAATCCACTCCCCCTTCTCCCCCTCCTCCCCCCCAACCCCCATGGCTTCGCTAGCTCAGAGCCGTGGGTCACCGACCTCCTCCACTTCACCACTACCGTTCAAAGCAACTCAACATCATCGCCCCCAGCAGGTGTGTTTTCCAGGGACTCATCCCTTGACCTGGCCCTGCTCTATTGCCACAGGGCCTTTTCACATACTGTCTGCCCCCTGAGGAGAGCTCTTCCCTTTCCCACCCTTTCTTCATCTAGTACATAGAGTATCATCAGCTCTCAGCTCAAACCACACAGTCTCAAGATGTCCACACTGACCCCAGCTTCCCAAGTCTGCAACTAGTCCTCTCCCCCTTTATTGGCCAGTCCTGGGCTTCAACTCAGGGTCTGGGTACTGCCCCTGAGCTTCTTTTTGCTCACGGCTAGCATTCTACCACTTGAGCCACAGCGCCACTTCCAGACTTTTCTGTGTATGTGGTACTGAGGAATCGAACCCAGGGCTCCATGGATGCTAGGCAAGCACTCTACCACTAAACCACCTTCCCAGCCCTAGTTCCTTACTTATTCCACATTCCTTTACAACTGGTTCCTCCCTTTGAACCAACCCACCTCCCCATCCTACTAGTTTACCTCCTAATACTTTTTTTTTTTTTTTAATGTTTGATGTAGTATAGGGGCTTGAACTCAGGGCCTTGGCATTATCCTTCAGCTTGCTTGCTCAAGGCTATCCACTTACCCAGAGGCAGGGCTGGCAGCCAACCCATCTTGCATACTCCATGACTCTGCAACCTAGCAGATGGTCAATAAACACTCATGGAATGGGAATGCCAAGCCAGGCAAATGAGACTTGTTGCAGGTCACTTGATACCCAGGTCCTTCACATTGGACACAGACCAAGGGGCAGAATCCAGTTTTCTATGCTCCTTGCTGAGACCTTCTGGCA